GATCCTAGGAGTACAACTGATGACTCCAAAATCTTAGTACAAACCTTGGCTTAAGTCCTCAACTGATAGAAGAAACCCATTGCGATTAAAACCTGACAATATCTCAGTACAGCCTTGTGCCATTAAACGTTATTTTGGAATAGTCTGACCTTCACATTGACCTACTTGTGAAGTTTGATTTTTGTATTACATAATTCTGGGGGAGGGTGTTGTTCTTTGATGTAAGCACTGACATTGGACAATATTCCAGTTTAGAATTTAGAACATGCTATTTCAATATTCAGCTGATCATTATTCACACAGGTTTTGTCTGTTTGTGTTTGAATCCTTTCTAATTTAGCCAGTTTCTATTTAAATATGTTTAGGTTTGTTCCCTTTCAAACTTCAAAATCACATCATGAGGTATGTTAGGTTTTTGCAGTGTCTATGGCAGCTGTTTTGTTGTCAATGTAATACATTATTTGACAGTAAAAAACCCTTTGCTTAGCTACATCAGACAACTAGGCTCTTGGCAGTCACCGCCATCATAAAACAACATTAGGAGTTGAGACGGTTCCTGGTTATATAACAACCAGTGGACATGACCACTGCTCCAGAACCCATTAGTAGCAGAGGCTTGACATTTAATAGCTGATGGTTTTATGGTCCACAGTCAAATATTGGATGGAAATTTATTTTCAAGTTGTTCAGAACAGTTGTTCTGATTGGCTGGTGGTAGAATCTGTTATTCTGTGGTGTTTTACATCTGGAGCTGACGGAAGTATCTTAATACAACCATGGCATATAACATCCAGCTGGATATTTATGAGGTAATAGGCCATGAAAACATAAAGTTTCTCGTCACAAGCTAAATTTCAAAATGTAAGGTCACATAGCTTCCCGTCAGCAGAAAAATCATTAACAACCATTTTCTTTTCTTTTGTTTTGTTTTGGCATTGACATATCATTCTGTTATTTAAGTCAGGCAGACTTGACATTCTCTGAATGATGATAAAATCAGATTTCATCTTTAAAAAAAACCAAATAAATTATTGAACTCCCAGAAAACAGATATCAGTGTTTCAGGTTCTCTATAAATCTTCATAATTCATGCTTGGGAACCGATCTGAAAATGAACAGTTTCTCTGGGCTTTTTATCTGCCACACATCAGAAGTCAATTTTACAAAACAATTCTTACAATACCGGGAGTTTCATTTCAGAAATGTTTCATTCCATTGCAAAGAAAACCCATCTGAGGCAATTTAAAAGCTGATATATATAGTTCATTTCCTGTATGTCATAGTAGCATGGCCACATATGTAGGACAATGAACAATTTCATCAATTTGCTACTGACATATGTAGAGTTTGTCATCATTACGGAGAAGCAATTCAATCATTGTCTATACACAGATACCACTGTGTGCACCTCATCCCCACTCACACAGCACACAGCAAATATTGTGTAGCATTGAGGATCAGTGGGTTCAATTTTAATGTCAAATCTATTTATGTTAGAATTATGTCTGCTGAAAGGTGGGTCACTAAAAAGAGAAATTCATAAAAACCTCCAGACACACTTGAATCTCAGAAGATTTCTACAATTATATTTTATCAATCTGATTCTCCCTATTGTGGTTCTCTGTCAGTACCAATTAGAATTTCACTCCTTGAAAACAGAACCAGGGGAAGTCAGAGTGAAATACAATATTGGGTTGGAGCAATCTTTTTTCTGAATTTTGCAATTTCAGAAAAAGTTCTTGAAATGAGATATTCCCTTTCTGCTAAATTATTAATGCCATTACTATTCTAAGACTTTTTATGCACCTCTGCTCTTGTCTTGTCAAGGGCAAAGGCGAAGATTTAAGTTTTGAAACATTATCAGGACTGCGGTTGATGTTTCATCTGACAAACTTTAGTACTGTAACAATACTGCCAAGGAGGTAACCTGGTGCCGTGTCAGTGGCAGCAGCTTGAGGTGGATCTTTGCATGGTTTGGATTCACACATGAATCAGGTCTATATGTCTTACGTAGTGCAGGCACTGAAACAGATATATCCAATACAGCCCATGCAAATCTATAATAGTTGGCAAGTCTTTGTGCTCCTTTTTATTATATTTCATTGAGACAAGTTTTCCTCTTTTTCTGTAAAATATTTTGATTTCAGAGATTACATGTTAGTCTACGACTTACTAAGAGGTATGATATGTTTTGGAAAAAACTATTTGAAGCTGTCGGTAAGGCCTGAATTTGAAAAAAAACAAAACTGGTTTCTGCTGATGCTCTAAACCCCTTAATGTATCTCCAACCCAAAGGACATGACACTGAGACATGTACTCTTCTTTTGTTTAATTTATTCTATGGGTTCGTGTCATGTGAAAATGTCTGACATGTTAATTCAGAAAGATGATGCCAATAAATATGAAATTAGTCCACATTTGATTTTGATCCAGAAGCTTAAATAGCTGTTGTCTAGACTGTGGTCATGAATTCTGCCAGAGCTTGACCCATTATGTAGCAGGTACGTGTTATATGACCTTGTTTATCTAATAACCATAACATGATTACAAGCAGTCTTTAGGGTTGATCAGTATAACTACAGAACGAAAGCCTCACCCTCACCCTCACCAGGAAAACACACATAGAATCGTATAGGAGCAGGAGTCACTCAAAATAGATAGTCAGTGAAAGAAAATGAAAACAAAAAATTAGTAAACACCTCAAGACATTGTCCATGGATTAATTACAATGTTGTGGATATCGTTTGTTTTGTACACTTACGACTCACAGTTAAAGATTTTGAGTTAATATTTCGTCCTTTCAGTAACTGAATGTCAGAAAAAAAATAATTACAGTATTTTCTTGGGTATAGTGCACACTTTTTTCTCAAAATAAAAACACAGCTGTGTAGAAGGGGGTGCGCAATACACATGCCATAATGAGTTTTGATGTTTTTTTTCCCTCATAACGCAAAGACAATACCGTGAGCACATAACACCAGAAATACCATGTCAACAAATCCGTATCGGAGTACACAATGTAATCTTGTAACACTGTCTGGTTATAAAAAGTGTTCTTTGTATATCTGGACTTATGTTTGTAACTTATTTCATTAGTTTTATTCAAAATCCCTTTTAATATGGTTTTAATTAATTTCGGCGAAATTGCGTGTGAAGCGATCGGAAGATCGCACAACTCACCGTTATTAACAGCAACCAAGGTCACATTACCGATTTTGGCTCCTTGAAACGAACTTTAGTTGACAGAGAATGGATACATGCATCATAAATGCCATACTTTGACTCGTTAAAAGTCATATTTGTTGTAGTTTGACGATTCTATGTCAACATGTAGTTCTCGCGATCACGTCACTGGTCAAATTGTTCCATGTGCAAAAAAATAACTGGCGATCAGCTGCACCGAAGTGCTTCACTTAGGGTTATTGGTATTTTGAATATATTTAGTAAAAGCTGCAACTAAAATAACATGATATTGGAATATATTATTCCCGATTAAACAATAGTTTGAGTTTCCCCGATCCTTGCATCAAAATCCTTTAAAGTTATATCATTGGGTAAGTTTTAACCGAATCACTGGTAGATTCCAAGAAAACGTGTGTACAGCTGATACGAGAAAATACACTAGGTAATCTTAATCCCTGCATGTAAAAAAATGCCTTGCAGAACAAAAAATACAATTTAAACAGTAAATCAACATGTCTGACCAAGCTTCTTATCACCCGTTCGTTTACCGGAATTCGCTGAAGGGGTTATTTTTTCTGTGCATAATATTCGAAAAAATGTTTTTCCAAAATACTGAATCCGCTAGAGGGGGGTGTGCATTATACTTGGGTGCGCACTATACTGAAGACAATATGGTATACCTTGTGTACAAACATTTCCATACTTCAGATATAAGCATCTTTGGTGAATAACTAACATGCCTGATATATATTGTCTGTGGTTGTGCTGTTGTTTCACACTGCTATTGTTGTAAGTGGATGTGGAGTGTGGAGGATGGCTAAGGCGTCAGACTTTGGAGTGCCAGGATCCCATGTTTAGCCCTGATACTGATCACTGGTTTGTCAGCATCATACGTGCTGGTTTCACCATAGCAGAAAACACCAACCACCTGTGCCACTTTAACTTTATAGTCTGGAGTCCCATCTATGCCTTGGTGGTTAGGTTCATGAAATGTCTGTGGTTAGGTTGTGTTTTGGTTTATCATTGCTCGTAATGAAAGCTTGATGTTTTGTTAACCTCAGCTTTGAAAAAATTAGTCTTGGCAATTACAAGAATGATCAGTGGTTTGAAAGTGCAATTTATCTATAATCGATAATGAATGAGGATGAAAATCAGCATCATTGTTCTGTTTCCTCGCTATGTGATATATTGAACTTCGCTCTGTCAATATTTAGACAGTTACTATTTAACCTTACAATAACTTTCCTTGAAGCCACGTCCATGGGGACTGTTTCCAAACTTTGTTATTTTATATTTAATGTATCTGAATATATTGTTCCCCACAAGTTATGCCAAATTAACTGTTATTATTGGAAATCAAACAATCACAGATTTAATGATTGATAACCTGACTGGAAACTGCTTTCAATCCATTCAATCAACGAAGTCAGTTAATTGGAACAACACTGGGGAAAACCATAGGTGGATCCAGAGGGGGGATCTAGGGAGTCTCTCTCTCCCCCCCCCCCCCAATCTTGAGCACCAAATGTTATGTTGCAGGCAGTAAAATTATCTGAGAGAGGATTTTCATATTTAGGACCTTTCCCTTTTACAAATGCTGGATCACCCCTTGAAAAGATGATATAAAGTTTGTCTTCAGCCTGCAGAGACATTATGACATTGATGAGTCATCACCTTGCTGCCACATTACATGTTGAACATACTCCTTGTTAGCTGGGAAGGCCCAGGACATTGATGTCATTGTCAAGTGTTCATCTTATTTTATTACCTGTAGTTGTCTCTGTGTGTTTCTGTATCTTCACCATTGCCTGTTTCAGAACATCGAGCACTGTTTCTACCATGGGTATGTCAAGAGGGATGAGTGGTCCAGTGTAGCGGTCAGCACGTGCAGTGGGATCAGGTGAGATTGTCCTCAAGTATATAACCATGAGGTGGCTTTTTCAGAACTGTGCAGCACGTCACTCTCTCACACAATCAATGCTTGTCCTCAGAGAGAACCAAGTTAGATTTAACTGGAAAATGCCTGAAAAGCACTTGAGTGTATGAACCATCTCACAGCTAGGACCTTTCCGGATTAAAACAATGTATGTCATCAACAGTAGGGACTGATTCGCAAACTCAGTCTTTGCCAAGAGTTTTCCTCCCTGCTAGAACATCACACATGTATATTCAAGGGCAGAATAGGTCGCCAGTATGCTGTTGCTTGACCGGCTTTGGTTTAGTGGTTTCACAGTATGCTCTTTAATAGTCAACCGCTGGTCTATCCTGCTCCAGTCAGCAGAGCAGTTTGCTTGACCAATTATTGCTCAATCATTCCGTACTTTAACATTATTTTCAGACATTTTTAAAAATAAGTCCTAATTAGTATTCTCCTCCATCTAAATAAAGACTCCCAAGGCTCATGACCCGTGTGACACTTTTTCTCAAGAAAATGCCAATTATTTCATGGGACAACCCAAGGGTGAATATTTGGAAGCCAGAGAATTGTAAAGTGACTGTTAGCGATGGTTATTGAATTAATTCTCTATATCTCACTGTTAATACCTCTCCTGGGCACTTGACGGATGTTGGCGCCTGTGTCGCTCTCTCACAATCTGTCATGCATCTTCCAAGTACAGGCTCCACTTTCCAGGGGATTGAATCAGATAAAGTATTTCATGTGGCAGGACAAGATACTGGATGTTTTTTGTATCCTAATAGGAACTTGTTCTCAAATTGACTCTTTATATTTTTGTTCTGGAAGTTAATTTGAACTCGGTGAATTCTCATGGGGGAAATATTTTGAAGATATGAAACATATTACTAAAAATAATATGGAAAACATATTCAACATTTCATCAAAGAATTTATATCTTTGATCCCATTGAGTTAAATTGACCTTTGTTTTCAAATCATTTTCAGTTGATTTAATCTTCTGCTTTAAAGGAGGAAATGTTTTTATTCCTATGTTTTTATGAGTAGGAATATTCATCTGTCAATTTCTACAAAAATTAGAGACTTTTTGTTTTAAGAAACAGTATGGTTTTTTAGAAATATTTTAGTTATTTTCAGATTAATATGTCCATTAAATTCACTCATTGCCTACTAATTACACCCAATTAACTTTTGTTTTCCTTTGAACACACATCCCATCTGAGCCACTTTGGTAATTACAAACCATGTTGTAGTTGCAGGAAAATGTAAAATTAATGTTTCTGGTTTTGTATTGCCATGGCAACCAATGTTGTAACTCTCAAGGTAAACTGATTTCTGTTCGGGAAGATCAATTTCCAAGAAAAATAAGAGCTCTCTGTTAAAATATTTGAAGTGATAAAAGCATTGGGTTCAGCTAGGAAATGTTTGAAAATGTTTTTCATACTTTGGTGATCATTCAGATCGTGTCTACAAAATTAGTCTTCGGTAGGGCAATCCATATTTGGCTTTGTCTGGTAACATATCTAGTTTTAATGTAATATTTTTTATGAATGTCAAGCTGAAGGCCAACTTTGACATTAACACAAGTCTAATTGTTCCAAAAAAGGCTTTGTTTGAATGTTTATGTCAGAGTTAACTTCCCCTGCCAACTGAGCATCAATTGTTGGTGATGCTTGTATGTTATTGCTCTACCTACTGCATGAGAGAAAAAACATGTGGTGACCTGGTAATATTGCAAAGGAAGCATCCTGTCCTTATTCTGTTTTTCTAGACTGGTTTTGTTTCCAAGTTTAAATGAATTATGTTTTGCTGATAGGTTTGAAAATGTTCTGTTAATGCACAGGGACGGGATAGTAGCTCCACAGAGAGTCCAGGCAAATTGAATTCCATGTGAAGAGATATTTTGTTAACACTGTGGAATGGAGTTGTTTCTTCTGATCTACTGAGCATAGTTCCCGTTGCTGTGTGATTAAAATACAGTGTTGTGTCTAAAATGGATTAGTTTGTTACTCAAGGGAACCTGTGTTTGTTCAACATCTTCAAGATATGCTAAAAGAATTCTAAATAAAAACATTTTTCACTCTCCCCAAAATGACTTGGTATTGATTGTAATTCAAACCCAATTATTTGCTTGAGCAATATTGTTTCAAATGACATCACTGAACATGCAATAGTTTATTATGATAATAAAATCAGTTGGGGCGTATGAATTGTTAACATACCTCTGCAGGCTTTGTACTAAGTTGAAGAACTTGCAAGGATTTTCAGTGAAATTGGTTTGCCATTAAAGGGTATTTTCCGTTTTCCACTGATAATCAAGTGAGTGAGGGAGCCATGTTGCATACACAGCATGGCCTATGGCTGTGTGTATTAGGCATCTTTTCAGATTGTCTTAATGGTCAATGTTCTATGTATGTCTGTCTTTGAATATGTTTTTGTGTGTAGGGTTTGGGTGGGTGTGAGCAGGTTGTCCAGTGGTGCCAGAGTTTTGCTGTGCAGAGTTGCCTTCCTTTGCTGTAGCAGGATCTGCTGGTCATTGGTTTGAATGACTGATTATGATATGGAATGCCAGCACCAAACCTATACATTCTTGTATAGGTTGTTACCAAAGGTGTAAAGGTCTTTGACTGGGGTTATGTCAGCTTCCCTCAAATGTGAAGAAGACCTATTGAAGGTTAAACCCAATGGAACTGCGTCCATGGTGTAGTGAATAGGGCATCTGCCTGGAGAGTGGAAGGTCGCCGGCTTGATTCCAAAAGTCGTTGAAAGATGGTACTTGTTATGTGAAAAAAACAATTGACTCACTTAACCTTTTCATGACCAAAACTTATGACTAGAATAAGAAATGGCTCTTTACTGGTTAACACGTAATAAGGTATGAGCAAGAAAATTCATTTCAGTCAAGCCTGTCACTTCTTTCTGTGAGATTTCCTCTTCCATGTGCCTGTGTGTTGCATAATTAAGGATGATGATGTGATTATTGTTAAAAGATGGCCTCAAATCAATACAAGTATTTTGTTAGTTGGGCATAGTTGATCTCTCCAAGGGAGGCATTATAGCATTGGTGGTTCCATACAGGGGGTTGTTGGGGCGAAGTGGGACAGTTTGAGTTGTGAATTGAATAAAGGACTTTTTCACAGAAAGATATTTGACTGGGAATCAGTTGATTTTGAGTCTGCTGGAGCAATGCTTCTTCACAAAACTTGTACCCCAGGCTTGTCTTCCAAGGTCAGGATTCCAGGGCAGAATGGGTGCCTGTACCTCATGCTTGTCTCCCAAGGTCAGGCTTCCAGGGCAGAACGGGTGCCTGTACCCCAGACTTAACTTCCAAGGTCAGGCTTCCAGTGCAGAATGGGTGCCTGTACCTCATGCTTTTCTCCCAAGGTCAGAACTCCAGCACAGAATGGGTGCCTGTACCTCATGCTTGTCTCCCAAGGTCAGAACTCCAGTGCAGAATGGGTGTCTGTACCCCAAGCCTGTCTTCCAAGGTCAGGCTTCCAGGGCAGAATGGGTGCCTGTACCCCAGACTTGACTTCCAAGGTCAGGCTTCCAGTGCAGAATGGGTGCCTGTACCTCATGCTTGTCTTCCAAGGTCAGGATTGCAGGGCAGAATGGGTCCCTGTATCCCAGACTTGTCTTCCAAGGTCAGGATTGCAGGGCAGAATGGGTCCCTGTATCCCAGACTTGTCTTCCAAGGTCAGGCTTCCAGGGCAGAATGGGTCCCTGTACCCCATGCTTGTCTTCCAAGGTCAGGCTTCCAGTGCAGAATGGGTGCCTGTACCTCATGCTTGTCTTCCAAGGTCAGGCTTCTAGGGTAGAACGGGTGCCTGTACCCCATGCTTGTCTTCCAAGGTCAGAACTCCAGTGCAGAATGGGTGCCTGTACCCCATGCTTGTCTAAGGTCAGGCTTCCAGGGCAGAACGGGTGCCTGTACCCCATGCTTGTCTTCCAAGGTCAGGACTGCAGGGCAGAATGGGTCCCTGTACTCCAGACCTGTCTTCCAAGGTCAGGCTTCCAGGGCAGAATGGGTCCCTGTATCCCAGACTTGTCTTCTAAGGTCAGGATTCCAGTGCAGAATGGGTCCCTGTACCCCAGTCTTGTCTTCCAAGGTCAGGATTGCAGGGCAGAATGGGTCCTTGTACCCCAGACTTGTCTTCCAATCTTGATTGCAGGGCAGAATGGGTCCCTGTATCCCAGACTTGTCTTCCAAGGTCAGGATTCCAGGGCAGAATTGGTCCTTGCACCTCAGACTTATCTTCAAGGTCAGGATTCCAGGGCAGAATGGGTCCCTGTACCCCAGACTTGTCTTCCAAGGTCTGGATTCCAGGGAAGAATGGGTCCCTGTATCCTAAGGACTAAAATGAATCACTTTTTCAGACTCAATGATGATTCTGTGTCCTCATTATCCTGACATCATGTTGTTCCTAATATCACCTCTGCTGTTACATGCCCAGGCTATTGTAGCTTAACATCATACAAAACAACATCAACACATACAGAAACACATTTGGTAAAATCTGTCATGAAAAAGATGTTACTAAAAACACACTTCTGAGATGCTTCTTCCCTGAAAAAGATCCATGACAATTGTACCTCCCCCAAAAGGCCCTCCCAATATTGATTGTCAGTCATGTTATATCACTCCCTTGTCACAGCTGAATCTGATGAAATACACATTTTTAACTGACATGGGTGCTGTGTTTATTTTCTCCCCTAATCATTGTATTTACTGTCTTAAGTCCGCCCAAAACACACTAATCATTCAGAGGGGACCAGCCAGAGTCGGATATTTGCATTGAGCAAGAATTGCCCAATCAGGAATGTTTGGACCCTTGGAGAAATGAAAACAGTATTACAGCTCAAGTTCAAGTACGAAATCAATTTTTGAAGCATCAGTGTTGAAATTAATGTGATGGATATCAACACATGCTTTCTAAAGGCAAGATTGGAATATCAATGATATAAAAAAAAGTATTGACTCGGGTAAAAAATATAATCAGAAACATTTGCTCATCACATCTCTTATTCATGTAGATTGGTTTTTAATTGATTGAATTTCATTCTCCAATTCATGGCTAAACATGGATCAAGTTTGTGATGCCCAGTGTGACAATTTGAGACTATCTAAACATGGTTCCATGTGTATGATTCGTAGTGGCATCATCTTGAAATTTCTATGTTGATCCTTCATGTCAGATAGTTTCCCGACACTTTTGATATTGGTGACAGCTTGTGGTTTGTTCATGGCTAGGTCCTTCTTATATTGTTTGATCCAGAGTAGCATGTTATGTATGAATTTACATAAAGGCTTAAAAATGAAAATTTGATATCTTTTCTTTTTTCTGAAATGCCAATGACGTTGTTTTGTCTGGTCCAGACTTGATTATGTAATGGTCACCATGGTATAGCTGGAAGATTGCTTACTGTGGTCTTAAACAACAAACAAACAAGTAGCCATGTTTAGCAACAGATTATAAGTGTGAAAGAACAAGGTGAGCTTCAGAACCTATACCCTATTTGGTGACTGTGAGCATCAGTTGGCTGTGTTTGAGATTACATGGATTTATCTAGACCTGCTCAAAGGCCGATATTCAGCCCCAAGTCTGCAGGAAATGTCAGTTAATTTTCAAATTCATGTTAATATGTTTATAATAAGTGTAATGGCTTTGTAGAGGTAACTGGTATATCACTGACAACAGTGCCTATACTGTGGTAGAGGCATTAACTTGAGGTTTACATTATCACACTGAATCAAATGTTCAAAAAAACAATTTTGATCAAAATAATGTTATTACCAATTTGCCTGCCATATGCACTTCGTTTAGAATCCTAAATAAGTTTCTGGATTATGCAAATATAGCCAAATGGGACTTCTTGTCTCAAGATTTTGCTGAAATGTGTCAGACAGTAGTTGTGAATCTTCTCAACATGTGATATGTTCACACCATGTGCCTTGTCAAGTTCAGCCATGATAATGTCATCATCGCATGACATAACCCAGAATGGCTGATTTTGACATTCTTGTCTTGGGTCACATTGATTTTAGAATTATAGGTTTTTTTGTATGAAAGATAGTGATGTCTCCATTCAATGACAGTTTCTATTAAATATTACATTGATCATTGTTGAAAAGGTCCTCTTGACAATGCATCATGCTGTGTGGTATGGGTGTTGATTGGAAAAAAAACAGTTTTACGTGTTGATTGAAAAATAGGCTAATTCTTGATGTTTTATGTTGATACATTGTGAGAAATAAGGGTCCCTTAATTGTCATAAAACATTCAGGGGTCCTTAAATGCAATATTATAGACAAAGACTTGAAGACCCTTGTACCCATTTTATTTGAAAAGATGAATACATGATAATGTGATATCATTACAAATGACGAAATGGTGCTAGCCACTTATATTGTTATGAAAACGTTTACGGATTTTATGTTGTTTGTTACTTTTGTGTAGATGGAGGGACCTGACACTTTAGAATGCAGACAGAATTTCTTTTCTCTTTTTTTTTTGACATTATAAAACTGAATTTAAGATAATTCTTTCTGTTTCAGGGGTGTCATTCAAATGCACAATGAGACGTTTGTGATTCAGCCGCTCCTTGGGGGAGATGAAGGTGTAAGTATTGTCTTCAGTCAGGCACAATGGTTTTGTTGCTACCAAAATGGATTCATTTGATTCTTTTGATCAAATCAGGTGGATTTAGCACCAGAAGTTCATACAGAGAGGGAACATTTGTCACAGTTGAGAGACATGCAATTCACAAGTCTTTGTGTTGTCATATGACAAATCCATCTGTATCAGTGTCACTATTTGTTGTCTTACAGTGATTTCATATATATATGCAAGTGCTCATGCCGCTACAGTGATTTCAAAGTTGATCTGTCCTCATATAACGCCAGTATTCGAGTACCTCCAGCTATTTCAATGTTTCACTATCCACATAGTACTCCAGTATTCGAGTACCTCTAGCTATTTCAATATTTAACCATCCACATAGTACCCCAGTATTCAAGTACCTACAGCTATTTCAACGTTTAACCATACACATATCACCCCAGTATTCGAGTACCTACAGCTATTTCAACATTTAACCATCCACATAGTACCCCAGTATTCGAGTACCTACAGCAATTTCAACGTTTAACCATACACATATCACCCCAGTATTCGAGTACCTACAGTGATTTCAACATTTAACCATCCACATAGTACCCCAGTATTCGAGTACCTACAGCTATTTCAATATTTTACCATCCACATAGTACTCCAGTATTCGAGTACCTACAGCTATTTCAACGTTTAACCATCCACATAGTACCCCAGTATTCGAGTACCTACAGCTATTTCAATATTTTACCATCCACATAGTACTCCAGTATTCCAGCACCTTCAGCTATTTCAATATTTAACCATCCACATAGTACTCCAGTATTCGAGCATCTTCGGCAATTTTAATATTTAACCATCCACATAGTACGTACCCCAGTATTCGAGCATCTTCAACTATTTCAATGTTAAACCATCCACATAGTACCCCAGTATTCGAGTACCTACAGCAATTTCAATGTTTAACCATCCACATAGTACTCCAGTATTCGAGTACCTTCAGCTATTTCAATATTTAACCATCCACATAGTACTCCAGTATTCGAGCATCTTCGGCAATTTTAATATTTAACCATCCACATAGTACGTACCCCAGTATTCGAGCATCTTCAACTATTTCAATGTTAAACCATCCACATAGTACCCCAGTATTCGAGTACCTACAGCAATTTCAATGTTTAACCATCCACATAGTACTCCAGTATTCCAGCACCTACAGCTATTTCAACGTTTAACCATCCACTTAGTACTCCAGTATTCGAGTACCTCCAGCTATTTCAATATTTAACCATCCACATAGTACTCCAGTATTTGAGCATCTTCGTCAATTTCAATATTAAACCATCCACATAGTACCCAAGTATTCGAGTACCTACAGCAATTTCAATGTTTAACCATCCACATAGTACTCCAGTATGCCAGCACCTACAGCTATTTCAATATTTAACCATCCACTTAGTACCCCAGTATTCCAGCACCTACAGGTATTTCAGTATTTAACCATCCACATAGTACTCCAGTATTCGAGCACCTCCAGCAATTTCAATATTTAACCATCCACATAGTACTCCAGTATTCGAGCACCTACAGCAATTTCAATATTTAACCATCCACTTAGTACCCCAGTATTCGAGCACCTCCAGCAATTTCAATATTTAACCATCCACTTAGTACCCTAGTATTCGAGCACCTCCAGCAATTTCAATATTTAACCATCCACTTAGTACCCCAGTTTTGTTTTCGGGCACCTTCAGCAATTTCAACATTTAACCATCCAAATAGGACCCTAGTGTTCAGGCACCTTCAGCAATTTCAATGTTGACCATCCACATAGTACTCCAGTATTCAGGCACCTTCAGCAATTTCAATGTTGACCATCCACATAGTACTCCAGTATTCAGGCACCTTCAACTATTTCAATGTTTAGCCGTTCCTTGAAGTACCCCAGTAATTGAGCTTACTACAGCAATTTTAAAGTTTAACTGTCCAATTGTGCCAAAGTAGGTTCCCAGAATATCAGATTTCCGTCTACAAAGTTGAAGTGGTTCAGTTTTGGAAAAAATCCTTCAGTTTGAAATGGCTTTGATTTAAGTTTAAAGCAGAATTTGATGATATTTTGATTTGGACAGGATCTTTGAATTTGACAGGTGTTGAAAGGAATTTGAGATGTGAATGTTTTCAAGTCAATTATAAGTTTTTAATATCTTTCCAAAAACTTTTGGATTGAATCTTAGGAGATTGAAAATTGGAGGATCAATACTTATTTCACAACTGCAGATGATGTCTCATCAAATGAAAGAGAACTATCAAAAAGTATTTCTATGCAGTTGTGGGAAATCAATTGATTATTTTTGTCTAGTTTAATAAGCCACACTAGAGCTGAGGCTTGTCAATGACTATGACTATTGAGAGGGAAGGAATCACTGATTGATTGATTGAAACTGACAAGGTGACATCACCATAAGGGAAGGATCAGTCGTTCTTGGTGTTATGCTGCTTCAATACATTCCCTGACTACAACTGTTCTTCTAGTTCAGAGCGCTGCTTGTAATAGCATTATGAATGGCAGATGAAGGTGTCTTAAAACAATAAAGCTAAATGTAATTTATGTTGGATTTGAAATGTGGATGGATCTAAAAGTGAAATAGAAAAATACATGACAGAACCCATTTTAGTTCATCAATCACTTCATTCTTCTGAAACTGTTAAAAAAACTCCAGATTTTTTCATATTACTCTAGTTATGTGTCATTGTCTTAGATCAAATCGAGTATAGTTAACAAAACATTTGTACTGAGTAAGGTATGAGTTAGGTATTGTATTCAATATTGCACAGTTTGTATTAGTATGAATACTCAGGAGATTTCTGGTGTTCTTGAAGGGGTTAAAATGTAAATAATCTTGACATTATCCACGGGTAAAATGTTGGCATGCTTTCAAAAATTCAGAATTATTTGAAGTGAAACATAGCTGGCCATGCCAGAGCACCAATTAATGCCAGTCTTGTAGAAATCTGTTAAGGCTATGACAGTTCTCCAGATCTTAACTTCAGTGCTGTTGTCCAACAGTGCAAGGAACATCAGCCTGTATTTGATCGATGACCATTGACTTCCACCGTCTGTCTTATATAAATGACAGCAAGAATAGCAGTAGAAGGGCTAGGATCTGATCAATATGGAATTTTGTTCCCCAGATATTAGGCACTGTTGGAACATCGTGACTTTGGAACCACTGAAATTGTTGAGTAAGAAGGTATTTGTGTCTGGGAGGATGTTGCGGTCGTTGGTGGACATTATGTTGTTCATTTCCTACCTTGGGCAGTGCTGATTGCAGAACCGTTTAGGTCTCCATGCATGTCTTTTAGGAGCTGACAAAAGAGGATGGGGGTTATGTGTGCTCATGTGGGATCTATCCTCATGCTGTCCACTGATGATTTGGCTCGACCAGACATGATTATATGCGCAGCCCCCTGTGTTATAGTTGCAATGTTGCTGTCTGCATCACAAAACAACATTGTCTTCAGAGCTGCCAACACAAAACACCATTGACTTCAGAGGTGTGTACATAAAACAACATTGTCTTCAGAGATGCAAACACAAACCAACAATGTCTTCAGAGCTGCCAACACAAAAACATGGACCTCAGAGCTGTCAGTATAAAACAATATTGACATAAGAGCTGTCAACATAACACAATATTGAAGTCAAAGCTGTCAACACAAAACAACATTGATATCAGAGCCGTCAACACAAAACAACATTGACTTCAGAGCTGACAACACAAAACAACATTGTCTTCAGAGCTGCCAACACAAAACAACATTGACATCAGAGCTGTCAACATAAAACAACATTGCCTTCAGAGCTGTCAACACAAACCAACATTGACATCAGAGCTGTCAACGTAAAACAACATTGACATCAGGGCTGTCAACATAAAACAACATTGCCTTCAGAGCTGTCAACACAAACCAATATTGTCTTCAGAGATGCCAACACAAACCAACATTGTCTTCAGAGCTGCCAACACAAAAACATTGACCTCAGAGCTGGCAGTATAAAACAATATTGACATCAGAGCCGTCATCACAAAACAACATTGACTTCAGAGCTGCCAACACAAAACAACATTGACTTCAGAGCCTTCAACACAAAACAACATTGACCTCAGAGCTGTCAGTATAAAACAATATTGACTTCAGAGCTGCCAACACAAAACAACATTGACCTCAGAGCTGGCAGTATAAAACAATATTGACTTCAGAGCCGTCAACATAAAACAACATTTACTTCAGAGCCTTCAACACAAAACAAAATTGACTTCAGAGCTGTCAACACAAAACAACATTGAAGTCAGAGCTGTCAACATTAGACAATATTGAAGTCATAGCTGTCAACACAAAGCAACATTGAAGTCAGAGCTGTCAACACAAAACAACATTGACTTTAGAGCTGTCAACATAAAACAACATTGTCTTCAGAAATGTCAGTATAAAACAACATTGTCTTCAGAGATGCCAACACAAAAAACATTGACCTCAGATCTGTCAGTATAAAACAACATTGACATCAGAGCTGTCAACAGGAAACAACATTGACTTCAGAGCTGTCAACATAAAACAGCATTGAAGTCCTAGCCGTCAACACAAAACAACATTGACTTTAGAGCTGTCATCATAAAATAACATTGACTTCAGAGCTGTCAACACAAAACAACATTGACTTCAGAGCCTTCAACACAAAACAAAATTGACTTCAGAGCTGTCAACACAAAACAACATTGAAGTCAGAGCTGTCAACATTAGACAATATTGAAGTCATAGCTGTCAACACAAAGCAACATTGAAGTCAGAGCTGTCAACACAAAACAACATTGACTTTAGAGCTGTCAACATAAAACAACATTGTCTTCAGAAATGTCAGTATAAAACAACATTGTCTTCAGAGATGCCAACACAAAAAACATTGACCTCAGATCTGTCAGTATAAAACAACATTGACATCAGAGCTGTCAACACGAAACAACATTGACTTCAGAGCTGTCAACATAAAACAGCATTGAAGTCCTAGCCGTCAACACAAAACAACATTGACTTTAGAGCTGTCATCATAAAATAACATTGACTTCAGAGCCGTCAACACAAAACAACATTGCCTTCAGAGCTGTCAACACAAAACAACATTGACTTCAGAGCTGTCAACACAAAACAACATTGACTTCAGAGCTGTCAACATAAAACAACATTGACTTCAGAGCTGTCAACACAAAACAACATTGACTTCAGAGCTGTCAACACAAAACAACATTGCCTTCAGAGCTGTCAACACAAAACAACATTGCCTTCAGAGCTGTTTCCATAAAACAACATTAACATCAAAGTTGAAAACATCTAAGACCTGCATCATTTCGGGCCTTTCTCCCACATCAAGCTATGATATAACTGGAATACTGTTCAAGGCAGCATTAAACCCAACTCACTCACTCAAAATGCTTACCACTACTGTTTACTTAAAAGTGATGCATGGACATTGTTTATCACTATCATAGAACAGGGTTGGTGGGAGAAAGGGTTAATTCTTCTTCATCTGTGAAATCCCCACTAAACAACTCTAATGACAATTCAATATGCTATTTCTGTCCCCCTCTTCTCTCTCATCTTTCCATGGACATGGTTTAGGAAATTACACACTGTTCTAATTAGAAAAAAAGAGGGATGTTTTTTCTGTGTAGTTCCATTGCATTTGTGTTCTTGTTGAAAAATCAGATATCACATCAAATATTGACTCCACATAATGTCAACCATTGATAGATGTCTCATAAGACTAATTCAGTGAACCACATCTTACTGCCTTGTGCATGCCAACACAGATATTGACAAACCACAATGCAATGTGCAATGGTATGTTGGGTCAAAAACCTAATTAAGAATGACCTGGGAATTAACCACTGTATATTGGATCTTCAAAGTGCTAGCTCAGCTTCTTATTGCATATGGGAGCTACATTAAAGGACTCTCTGATGTATATTTCCTCTGATATTTCACATTCTGATCTTATTGATCGAAATAAACTACCTCGATATGAGGCGTCAATTTCAGATGTTGATTTCACAGGTCCATCACGTTGTAGTGAAGTCAACAGCTATATAGTATGAGGGATAATAGAAACATCCTAAGTTGGGTTACAGCAAGGGTTCATTGTTTAGTCAATGGTGTAGCAACGGGGAATAGTTTATGTTTATTCTGTGGTGCAGCAAGTGCCCTATAATTCCGTATGCTGCATGAAATAGACACGGACGTAATGACAAGCTGACCCAGGGCCCTGGAAATGAACATCAGACTAGCTGATAACAAATAAATTGGATAAATATGGAAACAGTTTTGAGGTCTTTCAGATTTGATGTGACCCATGCCTCTAGACAAATTAGTAAGGGATTTTGTCAGCACAAGAATGAGAGATAAGACTTGTTAAGTATTCCTGTCCATTAGAGTTAGTGTTCATGAAGTCTTGGTGCGATAAGGATGAAACATTGATTCAAGTTGGAGTTGATTTATCTGTTTAACATGCTCAGGTTTGCATGATTAGATTTTCCATGGTCGTCTTAAAAATCTGAGCACCGGATTACTCTGAGATATCTTTATATGATGAAAGGTGTTGAAAACGCTGACTAAGCATAAATAATGTGGATCTGATTCCTGTCATATTTAAAGGAGGCTGAGGCAAATTGACATTCTTTCAAATTTTGATTTGAGTTGTTAAAAAATCAATCTGTTGCTAACTCAAATTTTATGATATAGGTTTTAGGGCATGGAGTCATCCCACAGAGGACATCCTTTCCGTCTCAGTTTGGTCATGTCGACAGTTCCACCTTTGACTAGAAGGTCCTTTGTATAAATCTCATCATCACTCTCAGACATCATATTACCGCAGATTATATATTTTACATAGTTGTAGGTTAATGTAACCACATGGAGATTAGGGTTTCACACAAGGGCTAAACAAAAGGTCTGAATCTGTACTGAAAATGGGAAACAGACCATTGAACACGCTTAGTCTCTGACAATATGTAACTTTGATAGAAACAAACAATTACATTTAAAATGAAAAGGAACCCCAAAGGGATTGGAGATTCACAACCTGTGGAAAATCTAGACTTGATTCATTAGGAGCAAAAGCAATAGAGCAAGGTCTTGGTGGAAGGGAAATTATGGTTGAGGGACTGTGGGACTGACCATTGAGCATAGGGAGTCAATGTTTAGGGTGAGTCAGTGAGTGAGGGAGTATGGGTGGATGCTGCTTTGAGCAATATTCCAGTAATATCACAGGAGGGGGACACCACAAATGTACCCATTTGGGGGATCAAACCCTGGTCTTCAGGTTGACGAGCGGATGCTTCAACCACTAGATTCACACACGAAATGCATGCATGCATGCATTTGCACAACATGCAGTCGATGATGCAAGTGCCATATTGAACAGTGAACAGTGTGTGCACGTACTTGTTGGCTCAACTCAGCAGTGGTTTCTTCCAATCGCACGCACTGTTTAAAGGTTTGGTTAGTGGATGGCTGGTGGTTTTGATGTCTCCTATTATTTGTACTACATGGCGGCACACAGATCACAAACCAGACAAATCAAGTACAATGGTGATCACAGAAAGTAAATGATGGATGGGTAACCATGTTCGGCAAACTTGACTCCTGACAGTTCGTGCCTCTGTTCACCCAGCAGTGTATGGGTTCCCAGTAGGATGAAATGGTGATGTAGTGTGTTAACTTTCTAGTTTCTTCTAAGGCAGCTTAGGTTGTATATTTCAAAGGGAGCTGAGAATAAAAATTGTGCACACTGATCCTGACTGGGGTAATAATGAAGCGATTTGAGCTGCTTAAAAAGAATGGATTTGGCGCATTATAAGTATAACCATTATTATTCATCATCATGTTCAAATGTTCAAAGTTCAGTTTTAAATTCAATATAAAGGAAGTCAAAGTTGATGTTCTTTCTTTTAATGACAGTTGGACAATTAAGCGTATGCATATGGAAACTGAATTCTTCTGAATAATTCAATTTTTTTCTGCCACCATTTTAATCTAACAGCTACAGAGCAAACAGCCAGAGAGCTGTATGCCAAAGATAACAATGCAGTTAGGTTTTCAAATCAATATGTATCCCCAAATTCCTCTGACTATTTCTCATTTTGATAAAATCTGGAAGCTGTTTAGGAGCAGTAAAGCTGGGCATTCATCTGATACAAAACGTTTTATCATTGCTTCGAGTGTAGCTATCAGTTTACCGCTGGGATGATGGTCTTATAAATATCCGAGACTTCATTACATTACATGTGGGTATAGTTGATGGCAGAGGCCAGTAATAGAGGTTACACAGCCCTCATATACAACAAGATAAGACCTGCTTCGCCATTAACATCTATTGATAAGCCTGAAACGGATGACATAAATGCAATTCCTTACCTCGTTGTAACTGATTTACGAGAAACGTTGAATTCATTTAACATGTTTGGTGTTGATTTTGGAAATACTGAGGTACAGTGGACATTTAATGATGACTTGGCCCATCTATAGAGTGATCTTTGTACTCTGGTGATCGTTTCTCCTGTACAGTGACATGAACTTTTGACAGTCATAGAGCTAAGATCACTCTAGGATGACCGTATTTACCATACTTTGACACGGAATAAGACAGTAATAGCACTTGGATCGCACTAAGACAATTATGATGCAATTATGACGCCATAGTGCTAAGATCGCTTTATGGAACAGGACCCTGGACCCTAGTTATCAGAACTATTGATATTTATCAACAATATTTGTTTCCCAAATTTTAAATACAGGGAAGTGATCAGTAAACACACAAGTAAATATCTATGTAAACATTTCTCCCATAGTTACAAAAGCAGTGTTGAAAATGTAACAAACATTGCATCTAAGGTCAAGAAATGTATTTAGTGAGTACACAAATATGAATGATAAACGAGAACCATGTATGTTTGTTATGATATTATTGATTTGTTGTTGTTTTTCAGATGGAGCACCCTCATATTGTTTTCAAGGCATCTGTGTCTCACAAGGAAAATTGTGGTGAGTTAGTTGTCCAAAGTATTTATAACTGTGATGTAGTCATGGAGGTGACTTTCGGGAACAGAATCACTCGGGCACCAGTGTTGTGACAGGGCTCATACTTTGACCTGTCCATGGTACAGATTTGCGGACATTATTCACAAACAATATTCAAAAGGAATACTGACATATTTCATACTGGACGTGTTTTCTATCAAAATGAATGTAACTGTTGAAATTTTAACTTGTTATTGATGTATTGCCATTTGGTCATGGGCAATGGTAATGCTTTGCTAGTGATATTCAGTTAACAACATTGACAGTCCGGTCATATGTACAATGTATGGAGGGGGGACGGGCACGCCAGAAACCTATGATTGTAGGTTCGAATCCCGGTTCGACCCGATTATGTCTCTAGGTGTTGTCAGCACCATACCCATGCTCGTGGGTTTCACTGAAGTGGTAAACTTCTGAGACCAGCATCACTTCTGGCTTTCCTCCCACATTAAGCTGACACGCCGCAATATAACTTGAATACTGTTAAAAGCGGCGTTAAACCCAACTCACTCACTCACTCACTCACTAACTACAAGGGCGGTCGGGTAGCCTATTTTTTTTAAAGCATTCGCTCGTTGCGCCGAAGCCCCGGGTTCGATTCCCAACATGGGTACAATGTGTGAAGCCCATTTCTGGTGTCCCCCGCCGTGATATTGCTGGAATATTGCTAAAAGCGGCGTAAAACCAAACTCACCCACTCGCTAACTACAATGTATAGAAAGTTAGTCGCATGTACAGTGCATATTGTGCATGGTATTTATCCAATACATAGCTGTTTGGATGAGGGAAAACAAAATTAATTTGAAAAACAACCTTATAAAACATGCCTGTCAGTTTGATTGATTGTGTCAGAAAATAATCAAATTTGAGAAACAGAAATAAGGACAACATTGAAGTCCAACTAATTTACAGCGGTAGACTGTGAAAGTCATAAAAACTTGATATAAATGTTTTATTTTTCATACCAATGAATGGTTTCTGAGCTGATATTTAGAATTATAAACTATATGAATGTTTCCAGTTTTAGTTTATGAGAACATATCTCAGAAATACTGCTTTGATAAATCTTTATGTGAGGTTAGCCATCAAATCTGACAGTTATCGGACAAATCGGAACTTTATTCATCTGCCCACAGAGGTAAACAGTGACAAATCAAGATGTGCTGGCATTGCATGTATGTTATATCCACATTATAGTCACATCAAACGATGAAATCAACAAGTTTCAATTTCATTCCATTGCAGGTAATAGCCTGGGCCAGTGGCTGCCGTTCCATGAACTCCACAAGGGGGAGTTTGTGCGGAAACTCAAGTATTTACGAGCAGTCAGGGTAAGTCAATAACCTGGAGATAAGATTACATGATTAATAAATCAGTGTTTGATGTCGTCTATGGAGAGTGTTAGATGGTCGTAGGTGGTCAGATGAGGTATTTGAAATTAGTGGGTGGAACTGGTGAGAATTGGAACCTGTTCTTGTCGGAGGCTGACAAGGAGTGGTAAAATACTGGGTGACCAAGGGAGGCTAAAATACAGGGAGACCAAGGGAGGCTAAAATACAGGGTGACCAAGGGAGGCTAAAATACAGGGTGACCAAGGGAGGTTAAAATACAGGGTGACTAAGGGAAGCTAAAATACAGGCATCAAGGGATGCTAAAATACAGGGTGACCAAGGGAGGCTAAAATACAGGGTGACCAAGGGAGGTTAAAATACAGGGTGACCAAGGGAGGCTAAAATACAGGCATCAAGGGATGCTAAAATACAGGGTGACTAAGGGATGCTAAAATACAGGGTGGATGAAAGAGGCTACAATTATGGGTAATCTAGAGGAGCTAAAAGTGACTATGGGGGCCTTGAAAAACTAGGTGATCAATGGAGGCTAAAATAATTGGTGACCAAGGGAGGCAAAAATACTGGGTAAGTAGGAGAATAAGAGTGAGTTGGGTGTCGTGTCAGCTCAATGTGGGAGGAGAGCCCGAAGTGATGCATGTCTCAGACGTTTACCACTTTGGTGAAACCATGAGCATGTGTATGGTGCTGACAAAACTAGAAACATAATCGGGGTGAACTGGGATTCGAACCCACAATCATAGGTTTCTGGCGTGCCCAAGGGACACGACTCTGCACAGCGAATCGCATCACCTTAGACGTCACTTAGGCATGGGTGACTCAATGGTATCCGGCATCACTGTTCACTGTGCTGTGCCACTGGTCATGGATTCAATTCCTCATCATTGTTTTCCTTCATATGTCAGCTCCATAACCATGTACATAGGTATTACCAGGTAATAACCCTCTTTATCATCCAAGGAGATATCGCTTGTGTGAGATCAAACGATATCTGATATCTACATTGTAGATATCGCTGCAATGAAATTGCATCACAATGCTTTGCAGACCATTGTGACATCATTGGTTACCATGACGTCACAATCAAATGACATCACTAATGGCTCTACTACTGAAGCTGATAGCAGTACTCTTTACACTTAGACACTGCTTATTACTGTCTACAAACTGAAAATGTTGGAAGAATGATGTTGGATGATAAATAAAATCTCACCCTCGTGTCTTTTTTTTCCCACTTTTATCAACTTGTGTTGATATATTTGAAAACAAAAGACACTCGGGTGAGATTCTCTTATTATGACCTGGGCCCACTTGCACAGAACAATCTTAGTTACAATTGATCTTAGGCGGCTAAAATCAACTTTACAATCACCATACAATTGTCCTATTCCACTTGCACAAACCGATCTTAGCGCGATTGTAAGACGGCTTGGAGTTAAGATCGCGATCTTAGCTAAGATTGAAATCTTCAACTGTGGAGGCACGAATATTTTAAACTCGACTCCTGTCTATAGTTGTCTGCAAACGGGCATAGTTTGCTGCGCATACAATAAGTGGAACCGGTAACGACACGCAACACGTACCTCCCTCCATCGCACTTTTCCCAATTATTTGAAGGAAACGATTACTAGAATGAAGGCATATATTCTTGTCGGCATTAATACTGTCGTGATTTAGGAATTGTTTTCTATTTCAACAAGAGAAATACCTACTCATGTTTTTATTCAAAGTATTGAAATGCGAATAAATACATTATTTAGTAACACAATTATTATGAAAATTAAAATAAATAATAATAATATTTCCTAAAACCCAACGTGTAAATGCATGATCGTCATCTATTTGGGGGAGTTTTTCGTAAAATCCTAAATATATCCTTCATGTTTTCGTTTCGTTGCTACAACAAAGGATGTAATGACTACCATTTCAAAACACAGAAAGACGGGAACTTTCAAAAACGCATAGACGGGAAATAAGAATAATGAGTAATGTTTCGAGAAAGCAATTGTTAATATATATTCCCTAGGTATTAATTTAAAAAAAAAATTATTTTAAAATGTGAATTTTATTTTTGCTATTTGTGGGATATTTTGCCAAAAAAATCAAATGTTTCATCATGTATATTTGCTTGTTTGATGAATACTTGTATTTTTTTCTTTTAAACTCTGATTAACCGCTCGTCCCCGTCCCATTTGATTTTAGATTTAAACATGTATGATTTGCTCTTCAGCTTGTATTTATTTGTAGATTAATTTCATGATAAACTAAAGACAAAATAACTGACACGAATATGACCCAAAAAATATATAGGGGAAGCTCAGCGATTCAACAACATTGATACACTGGGTAAGGTAGATTGTACTCTACGGGCTTATACAAAGGGAAACCACTCCCATCTAGAGTATAAACTAAGATTAGCTGCCCTTGATTTATCGAAAAGGTCACGGACGTTGCAAATCGCTTGCGGGACGACTTAGGTTTTTATCCTTCCCTTGTTTAGCGAAAAGGTATGTTGTTTCACATTTCTTTCAGTATTGAGTCGGATGGGAATATTCCTTTTAGCTATCGACTCGATAGTTACGTATTTAACTATGGTAATTAACGATATTTCTGACGTTAAATCTGTGGTGCGTTCTTCATGTTGTTAAAGTGTCGATTCGAATGATAAAGTTTAGAAAAAAAGAGAGGCAATGTTTGAACGTAAAGCAGATTATTTATGTGAAACAGACTAAGCCTTGCACGCCATTTTGTCAAGTTTATTCAGGGACTACAACGATCTTAGCTACTTAAGATTGGTCCGGACCAATTGTAAGTTTCGATTGTAGCTTACAATGATCTTAGCCTACAATCGCTTTGTGCAAGTGGATGACGATTGTAGCCGAAGCCTAAGATCGCGATCTTAAGGATTTACAATAATTGTAGCGCTAAGGTCGCTTTGTGCAAGTGGACCCAGGACATGTAAGGCAATCCCAAAAGTAAGATACGACTGAAACACTGCTAGCACCTGCATCACTTTCCACTGTCCCGGCACACTGAGATGACACACTGTGATGTAAGTGCAATACAAATTCCAAACGATAGTAAACCCAACTCACTAGCATTGGTCAGTGATAGAGTTGGGTTAATCACCGTTTTGAACAGTATTTTAGTTGAATCACAGCATGTCATCTTTATGTGGGAGGAAAGACCGAAGTGATGCAGGTCTCAGAGTTGACCACTTTGGTGGAACTATCGAACACGGATATGGTGCTGACAAACCTAGAAATGTAATCAGGAAGAACTGGGATTCAAACCCTCAATCATAGTTTCTGGCATGTCCAAGGGATGCAACTCTGCACTGCAAATTGCAGCGTCTTAGACCCGTGCCCCCAGCATAGGTCATTGTTGACTTCCATCTGTGTATTCCAGGATGAAGTCCAAACATTTCATACATATACATTCAATCATCCATATGCATACAACTAAAATCCTCGAGCAACAAATTGATTTCGGGATTCTCATTATACAAGCAGAATTGATCCTGTTCAAACAGTTTGATTTTTTCCCAAATATGCCATTGAAGCGAACTGTTTGATCCTTGTGTCAGAACATGCCTAAAGCCATTGATTATATCCTGGGATTAGTTGGGGAGATCCGTCTGGACATCTACCTAAAGGGTATATAATGAAACAGTGTTTAAGTTTATCCCATCCACTTGATTGGACTGGGTGCACAAACTTCATTAATATTTCCCTGTGATCTTGTAGTAAATGTTGGTCTTCATGGCTTGATGTAAATTGCTTGAAGGCTGGCATCGTGTAAAGCCTGTACTAGCCCTTGATGTTACTGAGATGTGAGGAGGTGGCTTTGTTCTCTGAAGATGTCAATAGAGGGGAGACAACCTAGCAGGCTGTTTGAGGCATATTGAACAACAACAGATGGACAATGAGAAGTAGTAGGACTAATCTACCATGGTCGGCTGCGAATGACTTTTTAGTTTTGATAACATGTATGACTATTAGAGTTGTTGAGCTAACAATATTGGGCTAACAATATGTTACACTATTGATGTCTTCCATATTGATTCTTTATAATGAATCAGAGAAAGTTGACTGGATGAGTTTGTGTTGACAGTGACAAGGTTGGAACTTCTCCCATGCACACTAAGTTAGCCTTGACTATGAGTCTGAGAGTCATTTTCGTTTAGAATTAGACTGAAAATGAAAGCCACCTCAGACATTCTGTCCTGAGCAATACTTTTGCAACTCTATACAGGGCCGATGGGCTGGCCCAGTGGTTAAAACATCCACTTGTCATGTTGAAGATCTGGGTTTGCTTTTCCACATGGGTACAACTTGTGAAGCTCATATTGCTGGGGTATTGCTGGGGTATTGCTGGAATATTGCTAAAGCGGCATAAAACCATACTTACTCACTCAGCCTTGTAATAGGACTCCTTTTCCAGCATTTCTCTTGTATAATGACATAATAGCTTGATACTTTTGTATCATGAGGTACTGATGGGTGTATCATGACACCTGTGATACCTGCTATGCTGCTTATGATGATGGTGATGATAGGTATGTGCAGATACTGTTATCTGGTACCTGGTGATGGTAGTAATGATTGCCTGTCCCTTGTCTGACAGTACCGGAGAGAGGCTGCTCCCCAACCCCCAAAGTCACTGAAGCTGGCCATGGTTCTGGATAAAGCTGTGGTAAGGAATTGATTTTCTCACTTCAGTTTGTTTACATTAATTTTATGCAGTTTGCATGTGTTTAACTATCATTAAGAAAATATAACTATATTGTAAAAGTGATTTTTGAGGAAAGTATTTTGTTGTAAAATGATGTCTTGTTCTGTTTCAGTACCTTGGTCTAAATTTCTCACAAACTGAAATGACAACGTATGCTGTAGAAATCGCCAACATTGCTGATCTGGTAAGACTTTCAATCTCATCCATTATCATTGTGAGCAGTGCGATTCCTTGGCACAGCTTGTCACTTTGGCACAATATTGGGACACAAAACATTTATACAGTGCCACACTAATACTGCAGATAGCACAATCCTATATATATGTCTTACCAAAGGGAAAGCCAAAGCAATGTCTGATGTAGTTTGGATCCCATATTCGCTCTGATTATGATCCTTGGTTCATCAATGCAATTCATGTGCTCATTGGTATTGCCAATGTAATAGGCATCTCAAGCCTTGGGCTTTCCTCACACACTAAGCAGGCATGCTTTGATATAACTGAAATACCGGGACTGTCCCTTCATATGTATGCATGTATCACTTTGTTTAAATATTTTGGTGAATCATCACACCCTTAAAGCAACAGGCACATATTGCCCTATCTTTGTGTCTCCATTGTGAAGACAATTCACATCATGCAAAAATGGTTACATTGGAACAGCCGTCTCAAACCCAACTGTCCCTTGAGCATTGCTGTTGGGGTCATCGCCAGGTACTACTGAATTGTACACCAGATTTCTGTGTTCTCCTAGTCTATGTTGATGATGCATCTCTATATTGTCCCATGATGCATCTGTGTGTCCTCCCAGTCTATACTGATGATGCATCTGTGTGTTCTCCCAGTACTATCGCCAGCTGAATATGAACCTGTCCTTGACCTACCTGGAGTACTGGAACCTGGCCGACCAGTTCATCGTCAGCCCCAAGCTGCGTGAGATGCTCATCAAGTTCATGAACTTCAAGAAGGTGGCGCTACAAGGAGCCAACTTCGACATCGCCTACTTCATGACGTAAGTTCAGAAACAGATTCACTTGTTGTGATTCAACATTTTGCTGGGTTTATACATATATACTTTTCCACGTTTAATAGGGATGTTTAAATATACATGAGACGTATCTGATTATCACGATCAAAGTTGAGTTTTATATAGTTCATGAAACAAAATCTTGATTGAAAAATATGAAAAAATACAAATTATGAGAAAATATGAACATTGTATTTCTGAAATAGTTTATATCAGTGATAATAAATATCCTACATGAGCAAGATCTGTTATATTTCTGTGTTTCAGTGGTATAGAGCTGGAAGGAAACGCAGTTGGCATCGCTCTCCCAGACTCAGTGTGTACTGACAGGGCAGTTGGCATCAGCAAAGTCAGTTTGATTTTATGCCTATAAAATTTAGTTCATTTTCAGATTAAATGTGAGAATGTTTCCACAAAGATTATTCTGATTAAACACTGGAGATATTATGGGCCGATTGGGCCACAGAAGGCATCTTCGAGGCCAATGTAAAGTGTTTCTATATGTCTCTCATATGCTGATTGGCATGGATGTGAATTCCAAGGTTTGATTCAGTTATACTTGATTAATATTTGTTAATGTTTCGTTTGTAAATTACTTATGATGGATATATTTCTTGGACATCTTTCTTTCTGAGACCAGTGAATTCCATTGCCATGTTATTTTGCAGAATCCTAAACCATTTGAGCCCCAGCAGGCAGCCACCATCTTGGCACACATGATCGGACACAACCTGGGCATTGAGCATGATGAAGATGGTAAGTCAAGTACATGAACTGATGTTCATTTAGCCTCCTTTACCCATTGATATTAAAAATGTTGTACCCTAATTACGATCTTTTACCCCAGAGAAAACCCTTCTCTGACAAGATACAAAGCATGATGATAACTTGGACAGCTGTTCTTGACCATGTTGAGACATTGGTGTTGCCTGTTGGTTCACACTGAAAGCCCTGTTGGGATTCCAGGATACAATAATGTTCCCCAGTAATCAAGCTCTGCTTGTCATAAATTGGATTGGGTGGTCAGGCTTGATGACTTACTTATCGTATATTCCACCGATTATTTTTAGGGCACTATGATCTGACTGAATGAAACATTGCTGATGGATATATGCGCTGCTCTTTCAATGTTGAAAAAAAAAAAAATACAAATCACTCCTTTTTTTATTACCACCAATCTTTACTTTAAAATGTGCAAAAAATGTTTTAAAAAAAGAAAAAGATTTCATTTGCAATGCGAGTGGAAACCAAAGGGAAGTCACTCTGATATATCTCGCTGGGTTCCATCAAAGCCTGTCAAGACAAAACGCTCAGTGGTGACCAGTTTAATCGTCGTCTATATTGTTATGTTGCCATTTGTGCACAAGCTGAGTGCCAGGGATATAATAAAATGTTCTTGAAAAATTGAGTTATTTTATTTTCGTTACTCCAGAATATATTTTTTCATACCTACCTAACTTTTTAGGACAAAATTTAAGTAAAAGAAATCTAAGAGGTTTTTTGTTTGTTTTTTTAAATTGGCCTACCTCACTTTTGAAATGAGTTTGAAATCCGTAAACCAAGAAATAAAAAAAGCGTTGCCTAATTCAGCGAACAAACAAATCCCCACGTGGGTACAATGTGTGACACAGATTCTTGATGTCATGACAAGTCTGGAATGTTGCAAAAAGTGGCATTAAACTTGACTCACTTATGTTTATGCAATCTCATCAAAATCAGATCTTTTACTCAGATACAATACCTGTTTGCATGAAGATCTGAGAACACATCCATAGAAGGTTGCATCAAGTGAACCCTGAGCAAACTTGACTTTGATCTACATAAAGGATGCATGGGTTCTTGAGCCAATCAGATATCAGCCTTTAAAACTTGATTTGGCTTCATTTCGTTACCACCTTGATTCCAAAATTCCAAACTAAGCAAAAGAAAACCAGCACAGAACACAAATACACCCTGGTGCCATGGTTCTCAGAAACAACAGGATGCAGTAAATATGCACAACAGTATAACACCACTGCTTTATTATTAGACAGAAAAGCAGTAACTTTTATGAGTCAAATCTGATCAGGTCTCAATGAACACAGTTATCAGATTGATAGAAAAAGTACTTTTAGTAAAATAGAAGCCCATGTGCACAAGACCATCATAGAGCAACAGACATCACAGCTCTGGTGGTGGTTATAGCCCTAATACTGTTTTGTGAATGTGGCCCCTAGAACACTGCATGAAGAAATATGTTTTGTGCAGCTGATCTCAATTTACTTATAATGATGCAATATGTTGCATGTTTATTGACAACTTACTAAATGCATTCTGATTATTAAATGCATGACTGTGACGTATTTACCTATGTACTTAGATAATAATATTCTGGCTTCAAGGACAGGTCACATGACCTCTTCCTTTCAACGACCGGAGTGTAATGTGATGGTAAAATTACCGCAGTTGTAAGTCTGTATTGATTGTGAATGTCATTAATCTTGGGTAGAATGTCCCCAGTACCCCATGCTTGTCACCCTATGGGGTTTCCAGGGCAGAATATGTCCTGAGTACCATGCTTGTCTCCCCAGCCTCTTGGGAATCATTAGTTCTTTAAAAAAAAATTAAGCTGAGTTATTGTCTGACTATATGACATTTTCAATGCATTAACCATTCTATTTTATCCTTGCGTATCGTAGCCAAGTGGAGAGAAATATACCACGAAGGTACCCTACCTGTGACATGTATGATGCACTACACGTTGTGAACAGATTGTCTGGTCCATGGTTGTTTGATGTGCACCAATATTGTATTTCAGACTGTTCATTTTGTTTTTTTCACCATGTACTCTGTGGTGTTATTAGGACATGTAGGCAAAGGTATTCTGTTTTTGTTTGGAAGCACAAGGGACTTTGACTGCCAGACTATGACATATTATACAACTGTTTTGTGCTCATTTCTGTGAGAGAAAAAGCATTTTCTTTTTCTTTCTTTTTTATTTGGTTTCACAGAATTAATATGTTTGCTGTCCACTGTGCTGTGAAGATTTTTTCTCTTCTCTTTGAAATGCATGATTTGATTTATGCAATATGTGTGCAGTGTTTTTGCTGGAGTTGACATGGGGGATAATGCCAGCTGATTTGTGTATTATGTGTTGAATGTGAATATTGTGCCTTGCATACAATTATAGCTGTATGTCTTGTTGTGCCTTGAATACCATATATCCTGTAATAAATCTGTAGGCATCCTATAAACACTGACCTTGAATCAGTGTTCTCAAAATAAGTACTGGGTGCTAGTTCTCTGTTAGGCACTGTTTACTTTGGATTTAAGTAACTTCTCCCAGGTAATCTTGAAATAATAAGTGCAGGGCCTATGTTTATATAGGACGTCAGTAAACTGTCTTTATTGATTTCCTACATGCATATTAGAGGAACTATGGTATGTGTCATGTAGTTGATAATGATTGAATGACTGTGGTATTAATTTGTACATAATGCTAGGATTGAAATCGGCCAGCCATCTCACATCTGAGAAACAAACTGATTTAATAAGGAAGAGACTTTATGGATGTTAACTTCTTAATAATGAGGAAAACAAAGTTTCAGAGTGTGTGCTTACTCCTTCATCAGGGGAATGATCTCTTGACATCCATAAATTCTCTTCCTTATGTTTATCACTTCTAAATGCCTTTCAAAGACTTAAACTGATTTAATGATGAAAACCTGGGTAAACATTCCAGATTTTATTCAGGATTAATACCAAATAAGGTTAAACATAGAAAAGACCTAGTCATCCCTACAATACTGGCATGAACGATGTGGATAATTATGATAATAGTATTGTTTTAACACTTTTGTGATTAGCTGCTGATGCTTGTTTGTGATAACAGCTTGTTTAGATGTGGACTTGGGCAAGTGGGATGACATTCTCCGTCTGTAATGCTAATGTTCATCTTCCAGGTGGCTGCGAGTGCAATGATGAGTTCGGATGCATCATGTCTACCCAAGTTCTGTGAGTTTTTGAACACTGAATTTGTTTATCTTTCAATAAAAAATATTTCATAAATATCTAATTATTCCTTATTATATCTTTGCTGTCTCCTTGTAAACCACATATCGTCTAAATTAATGCTCCCTTTGCAGAAGTTAATGAAGGCTCCTCATGCAAGAGGCATGTTTAAGAACATAATTATGACAAGATTGTAATTTTGTGAGCCTTAAGAATAAACAATTTTCACAACTTGAAATCGACCCAGTACACAAAGCACAGTGTTAATCTTTTGAATACACATTTATGCAATTTCCCAGAAAAAAATATTTGATGGTAAATGCAAAGCATGATTTTTGAGTGTATTTTTTTACATTTTATGTTTCATATTTTATGTTTGCAAATTTATTTCAAGTGTCACCAACAAATTATAGATGAATAAATAATTCAGTTACTTTCTCTCTGCAGCGCTGCTGGCGGACATCACTCCCGAATGTTTTCCAACTGTAGCAAGTCTGACCTTGACATTAGCCTCAGTATGGAGATAACTTCCTGTTTAGATGGGAAACCACCGGTATGTTTTATCTGTTGATCATTTGGGAGTATATGAATATTGATAATATCATGTAAGATTTACTTAACATATTTTAAAGAAAAAATTCTTGTTTTACAGAGAGATTTGTTGTGTTTTGCAGGTGAACTTCCCTCAGACTTGTGGCAACAGTATTGTGGAGAGGGGGGAGGAGTGTGACTGTGGGTCGGAGGAGGTGTGTACCAATCTTACATGTATCACACGACACATGGATTTGTTATGGATACTATCCAGAACAGATGTTTTGTCAGATTTAATCACCACCAAATAATGCCACACTTCTCCAAATTTGGTAAAAATTATATATAGAACTTATTTTTTCATAAAAAAACCATATTGAGCATAAACAATTAATACCATCAGCATGTTGATGCAAATGGGAATAGTGCTGATATCTTATCCCCACAGTAGCTGGACACTTGTCTCAAAGAAACTATATAGACTGTTCTAAAGATTGTCTGATTGTTGCTCAGAACCATGTTGTATTGATGTTCCAGGATTGTCTGAAGAAGGACCCTTGCTGCGACCCAGACACGTGTCTGCTGCGCTACTGGGCCCAGTGTCGGTCCGGTCCCTGCTGTAGTAACTGCACAGTAAGTAACCCTCAGGCCAATGTGGTCTCCGGTCCCTGCTGTAGTAACTGCACAGTAAGTAACCCTCAGGCCAATGTGCACTCCGGTCCCTGCTTTAGTAACTGCACAGTAAGTAACCCTCAGGCCAATGTGGTCTCCGGTCCCTGCTGTAGTAACTGCACAGTAAGTAACCCTCAGGCCAATGTGGTCTCCGGTCCCAGCTTTAGTAACTGCACAGTAAGTAACCCTCAGGCCAATGTGGTCTCCGGTCCCTGCTTTAGTAACTGCACAGTAAGTAACCCTCAGGCCAATGTGGTCTCCGGTCCCTGCTTTAGTAACTGCACAGTAAGTAACCCTCAGGCCAATGTGGTCTCCGGTCCCTGCTGTAGTAACTGCACAGTAAGTAACCCTCAGGCCAATGTGGTTTGTAATCAAAGTAATGTCTGCCTTTGTAACCAGGTCTAATTGTTAACCACCATGCCTGCTGTTGTTTTTCTGCTGTGTAAGAAGCTGTGCACATGGAGGAGAGGATCAAGTAGTCTCCAGCCTTGGTCTGAATGACCAACATCAGTTATGTGTTGAAGTATCCACATGTGTTCTTGTTTTCAGGTGTTACCCAGGACACACATGTGTCGTGACAGGCAGACGGAATGTGATGTGCCAGAGTTCTGTGATGGAGAAAGAGGAGAGGTTGGGAAATCTTTACTGCTCACATGTCATTGACTGAGTTGCTGCCTGGGGATTAGTGCCCCAATGGCCCTGCTTGTCATTAGAACCGACTATTGAGCCAGTGGTTACTATGTGTGACCTGGCTGATTATGTGTCATGAATTGTTGCTCATGCTTTCAACCACTGGTTTGGTTTGTCCAGACTCACGTATGTCTGTTTTTGAGTTGCTGACTTCAGCCTGTGTCACATATGTAAATGGTAAAACCAATCAGATTGTTGACATATTTAAGATGTGTAAAGTTTCTGTACAAGTGATGTTATACACTCAATGATGCAGAGTTGTGTTTTTATTGTCTATGGCTATGTACCATGTGGTTTAATTAAACAATGATGCCTTTGCAGTGCCCCTCCAACAACTACGTTCAAGATGGCCACCCCTGCATGAATAGTACGGGCTACTGTGTGGCCGGCATCTGCCCCTCCCTCCAGCAGCAGTGTCAGACCATCTGGGGACCAGGTAGGCATTAATACATACATATACTTGTAAATCTTCTTGCTGTGGAACCCTGTGAAGGTCTGCATTAGAACTGGTATTCAGCAACCTATACTATGCCTAAGGCTCGCTGGTTAGGTGTGGTGGGGTCAGGCTCAGTGACGTTAAACAACAAACAAAAAAACAAACAAAAACTCTTGCTGCTGTTTAGGCTAGATGGGAGCAGTCTCCATTTCATTATGATAAAATCATATTGAAAACATGGTCTGCTTCCATTCTACTGTTTTAAATAGGCTATGACGGTCTGATTTATTTTGGCAACATCTCAGAAGGTATTCTGTCATCACTCGATGACATAAATAATTCCTTACAAAAACGATTTTATAAATGAAGACAAGACAGCTGAAAATTCCTCAAATATCAGCGTGGAGATCAATTAATTGAGATACAAAACCATCACAGCATGGTTATTTGGATTTTACGAGATAATCTGTGCAGTAATGTAACAAGCTGTGCATATAAAATATCAAACTCGTATTTGAATATTTGGATGGTGGTATGAAGGACATTCTGTTTTCCCCTGCAGACGCCAAAGGAGGTGATGACCAGTGTTTTGAGAGATTCAACCCGACAGGAAACTTCAACGGCCATTGTGGCAAGGATGATACCACTGGCAACTATGCAAAGTGCTCATCTGAGTAAGAAATAGTTCCTCCAGTCTGTGAATGTGAAGATAACTGAAAATTAATAATTTGTAAATTAAATGTAACATAGAAATATTAATCTTTTCAGAGCATTAAAATTTACAAAATTTGATCAGGTGAGTAGATTATCAAGTTAGCTAGTAAAATGTGCATCACTCTCAGGATTTCTGTATGAGGCTATGTTTTAACATGTTTAATTGAAATGTAAGAATGGTTTGAAATTGTCATGCAAAATAACACTTAAAAAACTGTGAAAGAATAGGCCCAAAGTTTCCTATCTTTGTCATTTGAAGATGACTGTAATCAAGATTTGGTCGTCACAATGGCTGCTGAGTTTGAACTGATAGCTGTGACTTTCCTATTTATGTTATCGTTGCCTTGATGGCATTAATTGCTGTTGCACACGTTGTCGACCACTGTTTTGACTGATGGTCTGGTCTTAAATACTTAACAGGGCCTCATTTCAAACAGCAACCTTAGCCTTAAAACTATCGTAACTCTCAGACTTGCATATTGACTTACGATAGTCTTAATGCTAAGAGTGCTTCTAGGAATGGGTCCTAGGTCACCATGACCTGTATCACAGCTACTGTGCTGAATAAACCACTTCACTCCTTCATGATCACTACTTATGCCAGCGTCATGAGGTAGTTTCCCTTTATATGAGTTATCTCCCCTGATTACAGGGACATCCTCTGTGGTCTCCTTCACTGTGATGGTGGCAACAAAGAACCGTTGTTTGGGTCAGACAAGGGATTCTCCAAAACAACAGTCAACTCTAAAGGCATTGAATACGAGTGCAAGTAAGTAAAAATACACTGATACATTCACAAGGTCAGAACAAGCATGTATAGGCCAGTGGTTGCCATTGAACATAATTATAATTTTAAGTTGATTTGCTGAGTTTGTACTGGTAAATGACACGTCAAACAACATAAAAGTATCTGTTCAGCCGTTTGCAACCATCATGCCCTGCGGCATGGCTCATTGTACATGCTGGCATACCATGGTTGTATGGTTGTAAAAAGAAGGAATAATGCTGACAGTGACATAACACAACTTTTACTCACTAAGCAATGAAATAGATAAGGAATGATAGGGCCCTCTTTGGTCCGTTGAAAGTGTTCTTCTTACACTTTCAAGTTTTGAACTTCTGACATGATCAAGTACATCACAGTATGGCTAAAACAATGGGAATAGGCTGATTTTTGCAAACCAGCAGAAAATTGAAGTATGATCAAGCAAATCTGTAACACACAATGACTTTTGTACCGTATTCTTTATCTACATAAGTCCAGGAGAAAATCAGATGGAGGTGTTCAGATGTTTAAAAAACTTGTCCTGAAAACCTCTAGCATCACCATTTTTGCCACATTTTATCCTTAACTAAACAGTTAATGTTGTTTTAAGTCCAGAACAAGCAAGCACTGAAACCAAGTCTAAGTCTGGTATGAACACATCTGACAACTTTCAGAACCATATAAATTGCTTTTTCAGTTCTAAAATTCTGCTGATCCTTTCATGCCTTGCCCTTCTTTAGTCAAGTCTTGACCAACATCAAATACTGATGTCTGCTGATGTTGTACTTGTTTCTTCCCCAGGATTGTCCATGGGCCGACCATGATGGACATGCCTCACATGGGCCTCGTGCAGGACGGTACCAAGTGTGGGGAGGGCAAGGTGTGCCACAACGCACAGTGTCAGCGCATCAAGCATCTCCCTCCTCTCGGATGCCCCGGAACATCTCGTGCTGTCATCTGCTCTGGACATGGGGTCAGTGGAACTTGTCTTTCCAAAATAGGATGCTAGGGCGTCCATGAAAGGAAAACATGATAATGAAAGTGTCAGAAATGTCACAAGTGAAAAAAATGGTTTATGTACTTATCTCTAACTCTTTGGAGGTAATGGGACATGGCAATTCTAAGGTTGTGACAAGATCAACTTTATCCATGAAGATCCAGGTTAGAATTCTTGCCTTGAGAGGTGACTGCTTGTCGTAAGAGGTGACTCACGGGATTGGGTGGTAAGGCTTGCTGACTTGGTTGATGCATGACATCATATCCCAATTGTGTAGATTGATGCTCATAATGTCAATCACTTGATTGTTTAGTCCAGACTTGATTATTTACAGACTAGCGTCATACAGCTGAAATATTGCTGAGTGTGTCTGTAAACAACAAACAAGATCAACTGATTGTGGGTTCGAAAAATCCATATTGTTCGAGATTATGGTATTTGATCTGTCGGCACCATACCCATTCTGGCTGGTTTCACCAAAGTGGTATAAATGTCTACTACCTGAGTCACTTTTGGTTTTCCTCTTCCTCAAGATGATACACCCTGATATAACTGAAATACTGTTCAAAGTGATGTAAAACCAAACCCAGTCAAACAATTTCATTTCATATTTTTTTCGAATCCGTGTATGCTTTCTTCGCCCACATAAGGAAAGTTTGAGAGTGTGAAGAGACTTTTCTTCTGTGGAGTGTGAATGTGAACATACTATTATAATACTGTGAATATATTATGTCATGTTTTGTCCCAGGTCTGCACAAGGGATGACACCTGTTTCTGTGACAATGGATGGGGTGGATATGACTGCTTGATTAAACTTAATATGTCCATGACAACCATGATGCCAGCGACAACAAGCAGTCTAATATCATCAGCCACTACAAAAGGAATCCAAGTTATCCCCCTGAACCCGGCAGAGAACCGACTCGCCACCACTCCAGCAGACCCATCTGCTGCTCCAGTACTCAAAGGTAAGTTGACCAGGCGTGTGTGCTTGGTGCTTGCCAGTTGCTGGTTTATGCTGCAAAGTTGAGGGAAAGCTCCCACTTACTCAGGAATAAATTCATCCTTATAACCGTATTTCGCTGTCTATAAAAGCAACCCCTTGTATAAGTTCATTTCATGGCGTTAATAGCGGGAACCGACCGTGGTTGCTGTAAATAACGGTGAGTTGTGCGATCTTCCGATCACTTCACATACGATTTTGCCGAAATGAATGTAAACAATATTGAATGAAATTTTGAATAAAATTAATAAAATAGGTATACAATGAACACTTTTTATAACCAGACAGTGTAATTGCATGATTAGTTTGTGTACTTAAGTACGGATTCATTGACATGGTATTTCTGGTGTTACGTGCTCACAGTAATGTCTTTGTGCTGGGGAAAAAAACACCAAATTTTCAACCCTGTGTATAAGACAAGCCCCCTTGAAAGCCCCTAATTCCATGTACGAAAAACCGCCTTATAAACAGTGATATAAGGTATTACTTCAACGAAAAATCCAACAGCATAATCATTCATTTTGATAATGGAGGCAACATTTTTGGTTCACACCTAGGGATATCCACACATGAGAAAAACAGAAAAACACCAGCTGGAATATCCAAGACTTTCACAAGTTAGTAATAGAAACATGATGCATTTACTGTTTATTACCAGTGTCTATGGATTCACAGTTGGAGTGTTTTGTGTTGACAGAGATGGATGGTTTGAGCACGATGTGGCTGATCATCATCCTGGCATCTGTGGTGGGTGGTCTGGTCCTGGTCCTCAGTCTCACTCTCTTCTGCTACAGGTAGGTTGTCATCTGCTACAGGTAGGTTGTCACCTTCTGCTACAGGCATATGGTTCACCTGCTACAGATAAGTTGTCACCTGCTACAGATAGATGTTGTCACCTTCGGCTACAAACATGGTGTTCACCTTCTGCTTCAGCTATGGTGTTCACCTCTGCTACAGGTATGGTGTTCACCTTCTGCTACAGGTGTAGACACATATGGTGATATGAAACTCTCCATGGCCCAATTTTCTTAAGAACTCTTGAAACAATGTGAAAAGGTGAAGATCAATCTCTGGAACATAACAGTTGTTTTTGTACCTTCAGACGCCGCACACCAAGCAAGCTGCAGTCAGCAGTGACCAAGGGGTTGCTTGGTAGCAAAGATGGTGGCATGGATAAGAAGAAGGCTGGGTTTGTGAACGCCAAATATATCGGCTTGGGTGGTGTGCTTCCCTCGTACAGGTAACTAGTGGTGCCACCTGTACGAGACATAATGCTTACTTATAGATCTAACACATCTACAGCTAGCTATCATAATACTTACCCATAGTTCTAACACATCTACATCTTACAATCAGCCCTGTAAGAATTGGTCCACAGAAGCCTATGCTTGTTGAATGAGGCGACTCAATGGACTGGGTGGTCAGGCTCGGTGACTTGTAACTTGTAACTTGTAACGTAACTTGATGGTGTGGATTGTGATATCAATCACTGGTTTGTCTTGTGCAGACTTGATGATTTACAGGCCATCGTCGTATTGCTGGAATATTGCTGAATGTGGCATTAAACAATAACGTTGAGATGGCAGAGGATCTACATGTAAAAATAGAGCGTCTGCCTGTAGAGCGGAAGGTAGGTGGTTCGATTCCCTGGCCATGTCATACTAGCTGATATTTAAAGACAGTACTTGTTGTTACCAACAATCAAGGACACATACAGTTGACAAGAATGTGTGCATTCTATGATCATATCCACATAATACTAGACACAGCACAACTATCGCTTCTGATCATGCAATTTTAACCCTCTGCTGCTAACAAACTAAGCTTCCAGCAAACAAGCTTGAATAATCTGCTAGGCAACCATGCTTGTTGTAAGAGGCAACTAACGGGATCGGGTGGTCAGTCTCGCTGACATGGTTGATGCATGTCATTGTATCCCAACTTCGTGGATTGATGCTCATGACATCAATCACTGGATTGTCTGGTCCAGAATCGATTATTTACAGACTGCCATTATATAGCTGGAATATTGCTGAGTTCGACGTTAAACAACAAACAACCAAACCAACCAACGAATAATCTGCTGCTGAAACTGATGTCTAATGATCTTGACCTACTTTGTAGTTAAGGTGGTGATGTAGTTGTAGTTCATATGACTTGTGTCCGAGCACATTTATAGCATGTGGTTCCGTGCATATGAAGTATCTGAGATCAGACTGTAAAGGTAGTCACAAAGGTGGGACAGTGCTTACAGGATTTGCCCTCTGTTGCATAACACAAGATCAATCCATCAGCCTAATGGTTAATACCAAAGTGTTTGCTTATCATGTCAAGACCAAGTTCTGTTCCCCTATTTGGGACAATGTATTAAGCTCTGTCCCCTGAAGTGATATGGCTGGAATATTGTTACAGCAGCAGTCAATGATTGTACATGTTGTTTTAGAGAGGGTACATTTAGTCATTTGGAAAGTTGTATTTCCACGGTTTTGAAAATGTCTCAGTTTATCAGAAATTGACTTTTCTATGCACTGAAATGAGGGCATTTGTTCATAGATTCCCTAAAATCAAAGTAAAATTAACACTGATTTTTGACTATTTAAAAGATAACAAGAAAAGATTACACTTACTGCTCTGTGACCAGTAGTTGTAGCTGTCAATAGCTGAGATTCATTTGTGGAACGTAGCACTAAGTATGTCAGATATTTTTTCAACTATGGTTTGTATTTCCAGGCCTGACGCTCTGTTTGGGAAGAAGAAGAAGCGCATGTCAAGTGAAGATGAGAGTGACATCGGAGAGTTGCCTCCCCCTCCCATAATTATATCCGACCCGAACAGTGCACGCCCTGAGAAGGGAATCCTGAAGAACTCCATGATGAGACTGACTGGGGAAGATAACCGTAGAAGCAGTGACTCAAATGGAGATCAAGAGAGTGTGGGGCCTTATATGTATGATGAAGATGATGATTTAGAAGCCGAGGAAATCCGTGAAATTCTCGGAGAGGATGATTTCGAGCAGAGTCTTGATGCTCTAGATCAGTTGCCTGAATCGTCAAGTTTTGACTTTGTGTTACCCCAGCCCCCACATCCTAGCTTTGGGATGCCCTGCCTTCACCCCTCACCCCCACCCCCAAGAAGACTCGGGCGGTTAGATCTGCCACTGTCAACAGACTATCAGCACCAGCCTCTGTTGTGGAAGGGAACTGGTTACCCCATCTCTCCCCCTCGATCGAAAATTGTGAGATTGAGAAATCTTGATGAGCTAATTCGCCAGATTGATAAAAACACCATAGACTTGTCACCATCTCCGGATGAGCCCCCTGTTCAAATATCCCCATCAACGTGTACGTCGGAGGATGTGCGCAGTAGCGAGACTGAGCCGGAGAGACATTATCACAGTGCACACTCTCAGTCTGACCACAGTCCCACCTCCTTCACCAGTTCAAGCACACGGGACACAGCACGGCCAATTCTTGGCAACCTTAGCCAGTATCTGCTGAAGCGTAATGACTTTAATACTGTTGACCATCAGAATTGTGACGACAATGAACTTCAGCCTCACCAGATTGACATCCCCCCACCAATGAACCCGCTCAATCTGAGAAATATTTTCAACATTGGTCAGCCCCCATTAAACAGAGACAATGACACTCCTTTAGGAAGTCAAACTGGTGAGAACAGTTCTTTAAATGGCACTTCAAATTCTCGAAACGGATATGAGAAGAGCTCAGGATATGGCAGTGAGCATGATGCTGAGAGATTCAGCATTGAGGATATATCTCGGTCACAGTCAAGATCTCAGTCAGCCTCCCCACCTTCTTATAGTGCTGTTATAAGAACTGGTCCAAACCAGATAAAGCTGGTTCCTGCTGGACACCGTGTGGTCGACGGCAACCATCAAGACCTTCACAAAATACTTGATGGACTACCGCGAATCGATGCAGGCACATTTGAACGAAGTCCCATTCAAACAAGCAGCGCTAACACACCCTCCACTGGGCCAATTCCTGCTTCAAAAGTTCTTCGAGAACAAATGGATTTGGCAAGTACGCCCTCAACAGGTCCCATCCCCGTGTCGAGAACTCTGCGTGATTACGCTCTTGAGAGTGGCAACAAGCCGTGCATAGATAGAAGTCTGGAAGAAATACCTCAGGACTTCTCAGTGGACATGAAGAACACCAAGAAACATCACAGAAAGTCGCTGATCAAGTCCAAACGTCCAGTGAGTCTGAGCGTCAGCAAGCACAGCTCCGACTCAAGCAGTCAGGAAACGGTTAACGAGGGTGTCAGGGTGGCATAATATTGCAATGCCAACATTGTTGAATTGCTTAGTACAAATACTCACAGACTTATGCCTTGTTGTGGAGATGTGTGTTGAAAGTAGTCTTGCGGATAAGATTCTTCAAATGGTTGTAAACCTGCCTTCGTTGTCAGATAACAACAGGCTGTTCCTCAGTGTAGCTCCCATCTTGAAGAGATATGCAGAGGACAGCATATGTAGGGTCAGTTATTGGTCACTGTGAGATCCAGTGTTAACGCTTATAATCCTTGCTGCTCTTGGCATCAAAGGATATTCTGGTGACATAAAGTCAACTGAGATTGAGGGATGTTTGTCATGCAGAATGTTTGTGAGGCAAGCTCCTCCTTACTTGTCACCATCATTTCTCTATCGTTGCTGCCACCAGTTTTGATGTGGCCATTATAAGAAAATATGTAAAATTTTACCTCAAACTTAAAATGTAGTGATGTGTATTTTTTTGGTGTGTGTCTGTGGAATGGCCCCCAATTTCCCCCTCTCAACTCCTGGCATGGTTGCAAAGTGCATAGCACAGTAGGAAGCTGTTGCTAATATAGAGCTCTGCGAATGAGCTTTCTCTGTGAGGAGCTTGGTGAGTGAGGAAGGTAATAGAGACCACTCTTATCACACTACATATGTATTGGAGAGAGCTAATGAAGAGTGGGGTGCTTAGGGTCTCTAATATGGTGTAAGTGGGAATATGTTTAGTTAAATATTGTTATGTCCAAAATAATGCTCACATCATTGAACTTTATGCTGTCAACTGCTTTATTATGAATTCAAGATTTGAATATCTCTGAATTTATTGACCAAGCATATGCCAAAAGACCAAGATTCAATTCAGGTGATTTATGCATTTGGCATTTTCTCCTTCGAGGTTCATGAGACAAATTGTTATTCTCAAAGGCAGATATTGCTGACAATTGTGAATCTTTGTTTTTGGTTGTACAGGGTCTAAATTCTTCGAAATGAATATGTATATTGTATATTAATTATCAAATGTATTGAATATTTTCACAAATGTAGAAAATATTTAGAGTGTGAATTGTCCTAACCAATTCTAATCTGTGTACAATGGTTTTATCATGTACACCATGTTACAAACTTAATATTTTACAGGAACCTAAAATGTCTCATTTTAGAAAATATTTACTCATTTGATATACATAATTATTTTGTACTAAAATTCAATGCTATTCATTTATTACACTGAAATAGTCATGTGTAGTACATTGTACTATAAAAATGCCATCAATACCCTTATTAACGATGCATGAACAAATAAAAACTATTGTTGTAAAAGATTCTGTTCCTTCATAAAAAATGTAAACAATTCCTTTTTGGGTCCAGAAATACCACAGACACAAATGTATTTGGAAGACATTTTGAATTTGAACAACACCTTAAACACTTCAACATGCACATTTTAATTAAAAATATATACCTTGTTTGCATCCCAACACCACTGGAAATTAGTCACACAAATCCAACATTAATAATTCTTTTATTCTAATCGTGTTATTAGAATGTTCATGGTAGAAGTCCTGTGAAACCAGTGTAGATTGTTATCGTCTGTTTACACCATTAAACTTGGAAATGATTCATATCCTGTGATTATAGTGATTGGGTGTCAACATCATAGTAGAATAATTTCTTTTACACTTTATTTCATATTACACCAAAACAGCATTATTAATTTTAGTAACCATATGATTATGACTAGATATTATATCTGCTGACACAGTGTGAAATTATTTCACATAATTAGCTGATCAGACATTAGTTTGTGACAGTATTACTGAACTATTAAGTTTAACTTGATAAATATAAATCTTGATTTCTCACACTCTTTCATTTCTTATATATTTCATGAAGCCTAAAGAGATGGTACATCAATCATCGTGTACATCACTTGAAACCAAGTCTTCATTTTTATTGTGAAATTCACTTTATTCAGTAGTTCTTAACGTAAGTTGCAAGTTGAAATGTTCGTAGTTTAAAGTACATTTGTTTCATATTTTGATTTCATGTTGCATACATATAGAATATCACTACACCAAGTGCTTGTGAATTAACGTTGTTCTTGTGAATGATTGACATGAAATAGAGTAGTGTACATTTCACTCCCTGTCAGTACTCATCATAATGCCTTGCTGTATAAACCATTTCGTGTTGTGAGCCAAGTGTTGTGAATTTCCTCTACCAGTTAATTGATAATTGTACACCATGTATCTGGTACTTATGTGTGGTGGACCTTTTTGGATGTGCCACTTGATTCATGCTACTGCCACATTGTATGCGTTTGTAGTTGGGCTTAGGTTTATGAACTAGTTTGCAAGTATCGAATCACGATTTGCTTCATATTGATAACATTTGGCATAAAATCAATACTTCTGTGTATATTGTTGATGAATTCACAATCAGCATGCTCAATAACAATTTTAAGAAGTACGTATTATTAACTGGCAACTTATTTTGAAGATTTCAAGTAGCTGAAAGAGAGGTCCATGTCTTTTGTGACTTAGAACATTGCACAGATGTGTGAGAACATGGTTGTGTGTTTCAATCTAGTCATGATTATTGTCATTATATGCACAGGGAGAACATATGCAATATCACCTGATGTCACATTGTCCAAACAAATGAAGTTCAGTTTGGTGAAGAATCCGTATAAAGTTTTTACATTTCGAGTACATGCAGTAGTATATTAAGAAATAGGGTTGCAATTATACTGTGAAGCTGTGATCATTCAGATTGACAAAACTATGAATCAGCAGATCTCAGAAGTAATGTCTTTTGAACATGGTTATGTCCAAGCCTACAAGGTGTCATGTGAACCATGATTCACTTGTGTCCAATTACCAGCTGTACACTGGGATTTTATATTGTTTAAACTTTCCTTGTTTCACATTGGAAATTATGTGTAAATATTGAGACCACAAATGTAAGTCTTCAGTCTACTGAATTTCAAAAGGACAAGACCAAAGAGAACTGGCTTCCACTCATTTTCATGCCATCATTGGTTTGCCTTACATCATCAACTTAACAACAGCCCACCTTCCAATTGAACCAATTTTCACTGCAATTTTGTGTTGTAGAGGAATTCTATGTATTTTCACCATATATTCATGACAGAAAATCTAGATATTACCTGACATCAGATTGGACTGAATAGGATGCTGTTTACGTTAAAACAGAGACCATATACCGATATATGGTCTCTGGTTAAAATTATTGCTGTCAAATTATGCAAACAATAATTAAATTCAGTTAATGATTAAGTAGATTTACCGGTAGTTAGTCTTAGATTTTGAGTCTTAGTGACATGTTTGTTAATATTTTGACTTATTGTTGTACAGAGGGAGATGCTTCCTCTGGTGATTTGTGCAATATGTACATGCTGAAGTGAATTGCTTTTATTATTTCATATTGTTTTATTGTACATTTTCGCCTTTTATACATAAGTTATGGGACACAGGTTGTCATTGTGTTTATATCAGTTTCTGGCTTTATTAACATTGTATACTTAAATAGTATTGTTTGTGAGATTCACAAGCTTTGGCCAGCAATCTTGCTTTGAATGTACAGTGAAATAGATTGTAGAAACAGATGTATATGTTGATTGCAGTTTTATTTATGTTGGTTTGCTGTTGATGCAAGTATGTGATTTATCCATATATTTGTCTGTGTTTATTGCCACAGTCCCATATTTTATAGCCACTGAAACAGAAATGGCAAGAGAATGATTTGTTCAAAACATTATGTTGAAAGCATCAATTTCTTGATTATTTATCTCACCTGAACATTACAGGCATCTGTGAAAGGTTGACTTGATACTTTTACTGGTATTATCTCTTTGGAAGCCACATTGCTCATTAAAATATAGGTGATTGAATATGTGGAGCTGAAATAATTCTAAATAATTGGAGGTGTTGCAAATATACTCGAACTGAGCTATTTGAATACTTTTTTTTCAAAAATATTTTGTTGAAAAATCTACTCTAAAAGTTCACCGAATCTGTCAGAGGCATATACGACTTAATCACGTCAAGTGAGTGTATTAGTTGTTTGCATAGCTTTGTACAACCACATCATCAAATCAGTGTAAATATTAGCAAAGTAATTGCATCAGCATTATCATCCTTCAAGGTTATTTGGAATTGTGTTATAAGGGAGGTAACTCTAAATGGGCTTATGTATTGAGGGCTTCCCTGCATTGTATTTCACCTGAATCTCGCTTTTGTAGTAACTGCCTTTTACACCGCAATATGATCTGACATTTTTTGTTGTCCCCACAAGGCTTCTTGAATAAAATCAATTAGAAGCTTATGCTGTTGTTGTCTTGTTCACATAATCTTGAGCATCATCGTTAAGTGTGTTGTGTACATGGGACAAATGAAGCTGAGATGCTGACAGTGGGTCAGTTGGTTGACTGTTTGTCATTGTGCCCCGTTGGCCTGGACAAGACTTGATTACTTGCCTTGTTTGGAATTTTGTGAAACATATGAACCATGCAATCATTTCACAAATCACACAAGAATAAGTGTAAATCATTTATTTCAAACTTTGTATAAACAGTCATTTTTAACATGACACTAGAAGTAGGTTATATCATACAAGTATGTACAACAGTTGCTTAACAAACAAATACTGTTTTTTAGGAAAGTCCATGGGAAACATTTGGTACTCTTATAAGAAAACAAATAATTTAAAACAATTTAAACTTTTAGTTCCTTATCATGTAATACTCATGAACTAAAAGCATCCCCAATCTATAGTTTGATTCCATTCAAGAGAAGACACAATATTTGGCAGCTGGAAAAGATCAACATAAATATATAGAACTCAGAAATGATTTGGATAAGTGAAATATGACTTGACATGTTCAAATGCTCAAATGAAACTATAGTTACACTACAAATGCAAAAGAGTAGCCAAAAAACATTATTTTTTTAAGAATGCATGATCATTTTGTTGTGAATCCTTTTGAACGATTAAGTATCCCATGTACTAATTTGCAAAACACTTGGTAATGATGTAATTAACATATGATTTATTCTGTGCAGGAAGCGAACAGACTAGAAAAACTGATAAATAAATCTCTCTCAAACATCTTTACCATAAAAACCAGATTACCTTCAATATTTGTTAAGATTTCTAGTAATTCCATAACAATGTATCACCTAAAACAAACTTAATTACATTTAAATTGTCAGATGAGCATTAATAATTCACCCAGGTATTGGGGGACAAAACAGCATTTCAAAATTTCATGAAAGTTCACTAAAGTTTTTTTTGACCTTTCCCCTTTTGTTCTTTGTTCTTGCTCGTCTTGTGCTCTTCCTCCTGCTTGTGATGTCTGCCCATTCCGCTTCGCTGTCCAAGGTTACCATGCATCAATGCTAGAAAGTCATTGCAGGCCTGAAGAGGATGTATTCAAATACGTATTTAATTGTTTATTTAGGACACAAACTTGATGTGTTTTCAGACTTGTGGGTGTTACTGAGTAACCTAGTGCCAAGAAAATATTCTCGGAATTTAATTGCCACAATCAATTCATGATTTAGAAGATCAACAAGCCGAACAACAAGATGCAGTCGATTACAGCTCTGCCGTCACCATGGCCTGGCCTCATCTCAGACTGACTGTTAAACACAGTGGTTGCCGTTGCTTCCTCGATATCTTTTTAAAAGAGAACCTCTCATTTTAAGACTTTACTGTCCCCTACCTTTCAGCACCTACAATGAAGACTGATTATATACTCACAGCCTGGCTGGGCAGACAGGGCCCAAGTGACTCCAGGAGCAGCGGGTCTCCGTTGACAGCTCCACGATAGTCTTGGAGGGTACACCGACCATCATGGTCCAGGTCCTGTCACAAACAGACAACACTGTAGGCTGCATTTACAGGAGAACCTACCATAGTTAATTTAGTTTTGATACAATTAATGCAGTCTTGAATCTCTTGATAAAGAGCATAATATATTAAATTGATTAATATGTTTCAAAATGGTTGAATCATGTATTATAGGAAGACAGTCCAATGATAACAGTCAGTGTAAAAATTAAGGGGGCTCCTGGGGTCCTTGAGGATCCCCTAAATTTGTAACTGTAAACATTAGATTTTGACAATGGTTATGATGACTAACTTCAAACAGTGCCAGTGAGGTACAAGACTACTTTGATGGAAACTGGAAATGACCCAGGACTTTTACCGTAACCAGATGTACTGTTTTGACTTTAGGGTATACTTCACAAATACACATACTAGTTTCTTGAGCACTATTTCCACCAGCTCCTTCACACCCTCATCTGGATCTTCTTCTGATGATTGCTGGAAAATAAAGGAGGTTAATTTAATAAATCATCTGAAGTTGTACATAAAGGGATGATTAACCCCACAAATCAGAAGAATATAATATAGAGAACTTTGTTTTATTGTGTTTGACTGTATAACAATGGTGACATTCAAGCCTTCTACCGGTATTTCCCTTATCAATACTTCATAGTCTTGCATACAGTTTGTGCCTCCATCACCCGTGAATACTGATGGCTGCCTGCAGATAAAGTGGTGACGTGTCCATTTTCGCAGCTTATGAAACGATGCTGTGCATTAGTCATGGAAGCATGTACCTTTTGAAAACACTGCCACTGCCTGACTTGGAAGTAGCATGTTGAGCCCATAGCAATGACACCTCCCTCTTCCACGTCAAGTGAAAAACATCCCCTCTTGTCTGAACCCATCCTCGATTATCATGTGCATATATATCCATTCTGTTATGATAAATAACCTGGACCCATAAGCCACCACAGCTTTGTTTCAGCAGTGACACCACCACCTCCCTCGTTCTTATTTCTAACTTAGCACAGATTTATTCTTGCTCATTAGACTACCGGTACTTTGATTAGAAGGCTATTATTATTGTGTCGGCTCGAGGTTATGGTCGCAAATGGGTCCAGGGTATATATCGCATTGTTCAGCAAAGGGTCCTAGTCATAGCCCAATGTTAGAGGTTTCCTAGATAAACTATCATAGGAGCAAACCTCAAAGACCCCAGGTCCCCCCTTAATTTAAAACACTATCATAATAGAAAGGAGAAATTATATACTGGATAATAGAGGATAGCCTGGAACCAGACAGTGAATTTATTCATTATTTGAAATAGCGATGACACCTCCAAGTGGACATATGTATTCACGGGTGATGGAGGCACTGAGTACACAAGACCGTGATGTATTAGTACATTACCACCCTACATATATGTGATATGCATGGACTGCAAACACGATGCACTTTACACAATAATCCTAAACCCCAAACTAAGGCTTACTCCAATGTTATCAACATCAAGGGGGCACAGATGGCCCAGTCGTCTGAGGCAACGCAATTTGCTGTGCAGAGTTGCGTCCCTTGGGTTGGTTTGTTTTTTGGGGGTTTTTTTACGCCGCACTAAGCAATATTCCAGCTATATGACAGTGGTCTGTAAATAATCGAGTCTGGACCAGACAATCCCGTTTGTCGCCTCTTACAACAAGCATAGTCGCCTTTTACAGCAAGCATGGGTTGCTGAAGACCTTTTCTACCCTGAATCTTCACGTGTCGCGTCCCTTGGTCATGCCAGACTATGATTGTGGGTTCGAATCCCAGTTCCCCCCGATTATGTTTCTAGGTTTGTCAGCACAAAACCCATGCTCGTGAGTTTCACCGAAGTGGTAAACGTCTGAGACCTGCACCACTTGGGGCTTTCCTCCAACTTTTAGCAGACACGGCATGATATAACTGGAATATTGTTCAAAGCGGTGTTGAGCACAACTCACTCATTAACAGAGCAGTTACAAAGACAAACAATCCACTAAAACAATGAACATAACACACCATTTTGGTGTAATGACGATGAACCACGCCCGGTATCTTTAATTTTGGTGACGTCGCAAAGTTCTTGTCCAGTGACCCAAATTTGTTTTATAATTGTTTCAATCACTGTATCAGCTTAGTATTGGAGAGAGGTAGTGGACATTTATCATTGTGGCAAAACTCAGGGGTATGGTGCTTACACACCATGGAGCATTTAGGTCAAACCTAGGATTCACTTTTGATCAGAAGATCCTGGCACATCTAAGGAACACAACTCTCCCCTAGGGTTGGGACTAGGGCTACAACGAATACACTATGGGGCGAATACCATTTGCATCATGAATATTGGGTAACGAATACAAATATTTATTCACAAATGCAATAACAAGTCAGCTGTTGATGTGTTATTTATGATATTCATTGAAACAATAACAAAATAAATCATTTGACATGGTTGTTAATTATTAATTTATTATACATTTATATACTGCACTTCTCCAGGTACTAGTATCTGCTCAAATGTGACAATGACCAGTGACTACAATACTGTCAAATTAAATATAAAAGAGTGCTTGCTGTCTTTGAAGAAATCTATGCATAAAATATGCTCTTGTGGATATTTTAAGGGTCAGGGTATGTAAATGCAAATGACTGCATATTCATAAATATTCGATTCTAGTGACCACGAATAAAGAATTCAATTCATGAATGGATACGGTTTGATTCACCGAATACGCAAGTGAATCGTAACAGCCCTAGTTGGGACTTTCCACAAATTTGTAGTATGATAAATATCATGAAAATGAGGATCCAGATCATGGTACAGAAAGACATGAACATTCATGTTTGTAAGCATACATATTTTTAACAAACAAATGAACACTGAGAAATGCTGACACACTGAAATTTAACACACACAGCCACAATACATGGTTATGTACCAATAATAGTGTAACATATTTTTTGTATCCATGTGCCGGCCTAAGAGTATGATATGATAGTATATCAACATGATCAATATTCAGTAAATCATCCCACTCCTTCTCTGCATAGCAAATTACCGACCACTGAAATGACTAACAAGAAGTCAACATCAGCCAATTAGAAAGCAGCTTTCTCGAGCACTCGGCACTCGTTTCAACCTGGTGACTTCCATTTCAGACTATGCTTGAAAAATATGTTGACACGGTTCTCGATTAAATTTTAGAAAAATGAACAAACGAACATTTCAGAATGTCTAATATATGGTTGAGATTGTATGGCAGTGCTTCCCACATATTGTGCAAAGAATCCTTCATTCAAATGTTTATCCCTCGGAAGCGAGAGATAGACAATAATTTTGATGGAATCAGTCGTACAGGCCGTAACTGTAGTTCAGAATACCCCATGTTAATGTTTTCAAGGTTGCATGATTAGAAAACACACTCCGACTGTTAATTTCACGATCTGGTAAGCGACGCTTTGATTGGTCAGATGAAAGGTCGCTCTGACGTGACCCATAATGGGATGTCCTCAGATCTTTGTTCAGCAATAGCGAGAACTAAGATCCGATGTTAATGAGATTGAGCTATTGCGGTACAATGTCAAAGCATGTGAGTTATGACAAGCTGTAAGAACGCTTTGTGGAAAGACATCCAGGCTCTAACGGATATCTCAGAAATTTCAATGACAAGGACATACCTTAAAGAGGCTGTTCTTCAGTAAGTGAAACATTTCTTCTCTAGAGATGTGCCCATCTCCATTGAGGTCATACACCAGAAAACAATCTGAAAACAACAGCATATCTTACATTGAGAAGAGATTTGATCGCTTCATTTTCTAGGACATTGACTGATTGTCAAAATGTCCTAGAGCTGTTTGATAATTTGGTAATGAAATTGAAGAAGGTCCTATTAAAAGTGACAAAATTCTGAAAATGTCCAACATCCATTTGTCTAGCAAAATCACTGCATTTGAAATTCAAATCTCAATAGTTTCTTATCTTCCTAAATTCATATTTAACACACAGCACCAGAGTGAATGAATTTGGCCTAACGCCGTTTTGAACACTATTTAGGTTACATCACAGCATGTCACTTTAATGTGCAGGGAAAGCTCAAAGTGATGCAGGTCTCAAACGATTACCACTCTGGTGAAACAAGATGGGTGAGGTGCTGATCCACCAGGAAACAATCAGGGCGAACCGAACAAGAGACACTTGGCACAATAACATCCATACTGTATTCATGTACCAATTTCTGTGATTTCTTTTTTAAAGATTAAAACCGACTGGTGTATAATTATATTAAAGACTCCATATGCTTTCTAAACTCAACAATGAAATTCTGGTTTGAATTAAGATTTTTGTGAATCTGCAACATATATACACACTTTGATACGGTATTGTATATTAAAGAGCACTGAGCATACAAATACTCTCTCAAGTTTAGACTTACACTTAATCTTGTCTTCTAAATCTCCTCTGAGGAAGACATGAAGACCCAAGACCCATTCCTCTTGCTTCAGGACGCTGTCATTGTCTCGGTCAAATGCTCGGAAAACTGACAAGACACAAACAATATTTATAATAATAATAATTAACCTTCACCACATGACACAATAGGGAAAGAAGAACAATTCAACATAAACAAAGAATATATTAACATTACCCAATTTATTTAAAATTCAATGATCAGTCTGTGACCTTTAAGTCATTAGTCCAAAACAGGATTCTGGTATAAAACGAAAATGTAGTTAATTCTACAGAGTATTCACTGTATGTGGGTGCCAGAGGCACAGTTATATGACACAGTTAAAATAAGTTACTGGTGTCTTGACAGAAATCTAAACAAAGTTTTCAAATTACAATATCCTGTGACAGTGTTTCTAATGATTTATTTGAAGCAGTAAAAGACACCAAATAAATAAGTAGTAGTGCTTAGGTATATTACTTTCTTATAAACATGGGTGCCACCAATTTTAATTCTAACTGCTCATAGCAGACAGTATGTAAGCGTGAAAATCAGAATAGGGTGATGATTACGAAAACATCCCAACATGGTGTTTCTCAAAGTTGACCACTCCACAATTACGAATCTGGCATGTGTGTAATCGAGGGAGGAATTGAATTCTTTTTGATCCAAAGTTCTTGCCACAGATAATTCCAAAAGGCAAACCTAAACATCTTAGAAATACCCTGCGGCACTTGATAGTTTCAATAGTTAATTTGAATATAGTTAATAATATGAATGAATAAAACATAGATTAAGTATCAGAAAACTCAGTTTTTACAGTCAAATTTAAAACCTGCCGTGTTTTGATCAGTAAGGATTACGACTACTTCAGAATAGAGTTACTTCCTTTTGGTTTGAGAAGCGAGAGTGAGGAAAATGTCCGAGATTGACATTGTTTGCAATTGTGTGGGGTACTTTAGCCCCAAATAGTCACCTAGTAAAGTCAGTAGTTAATAAATCAAACCTCTATCCATCAGAAAGTCATCTGTGATCTTGAAGCAGGTTTGCAGCTCATCACGAAATTTGTTTCTGTCCATTTTGTCTGGGGTGCCTTTGTTGGCACAGATTTCTGAGAACATTTCCAGGAGGGAAACAATTTCCACGTCGTCAACTGAAAATTAGTAACACATCTGAAAAACCATTGCAGTCAGGATGTTAGTAAAGACAATAACATTATTTTAAGATGCACACAAGAAATGTTTGGGTATAGATAGAATTTGTTCAATTATCCAACAATGATTATCTTTAGAACTTTAATAAGATTATCTGAGATTAATGTAATTCTACATTGTTCAATATTAAGACCCCCCTTTAGATTTCTAACACTGGTCTGGATATTTTCATAATTCATGACTCCCCATTACCCGGTACCATGTACAAATTACAAACACATAAGAATATTAGCCACATAAAGATAATTTTAGGAAGAACTAAGTGGTAACATTAACAATCAATAAAAAAAATGAATTTCAACTGTAGTGTAGTAGAGGAATGCTATGATTCAGCGGTAAAAAACTAACTTACTTATTCCACTAATCCTTATAATGATAACATATAGTAAAACCCTTAAACATGTTAAAAATGGCACATTTCAACTAGTCCTTATGCTACCTTAATTATTGGGCAGTTTAACAAGGACTATAGAACTAGTGCCAATTTCTAACGCTGTGATGCGATTATTGTACGTTTCAGATACTTGCAATGCATGTATAATGGATGCTCCCGTACATGTTCGTGTGCCTGTGCATTGCGTGAATAAATCAGCCTTCCACCTTGATCAATGATACGCGAGTCATGTTGTTTTGTGCAGGTGACAATTCAAAACATAGATACAACGTCAACATATATACAGATATAGATATATATAGCTGAACCATAATGCATTTGTCCATGTTAGGGAACCTCAACAAATATTTTCAAAATATTTTGTCATATAACATTGTAGAATATGTGATATCAATCAAACTATCAATAACATTCACTTACAATAGCATTTGTTTCAAGTCGTGTTATTTTAGAGAGGCAGATAAAAAAGGCAGTGAGAAAACTTTGAAACCATCACTAAGGAAGGAGCTTGTGTAGAAACTATTCATTATTCTAGCTATTTCCATGAGCGACAATGTTTTAGGGGCATCCATATTTTTAACTGTTTTTTCTTTCTTTTCGGGGCCTCAAAAATCATAACAACAGGTGCTTGAGCGGTAATCATGAATTTTCATGTCATGGAAATCATGCACTCTATTCAGGTATTCATGTTTGCAACTGGTAACTGGTGAAAGAAAGAACATGTGACAGTGTGTGTATTTGAAAATTATGGAGATAAACTTAAAGTTAGTGGGAACAATTGATCTGCAGGCACTCATGTGAGTGCCCATGACATGTCTAATATGAGCAAACCTATATCTAATATAAAGGCACTTCATAAACACTAAAAGCCAAGGAGAAGGGCATTTTACAGCTCCTTACTGTGCAAATTGTAAGCATTTAGTGTCGATCCCTAAAACAAAACAAATCTAAAATTATCAGAAAAAAGTGTAAACGGACGATGGTCTGATATAATAGATATATGCCCGAGTAAGTTAGCTGATTTCAAATTCTACCATTTTGAAATGGGAGCAGTACATACATCTACATGGCGGTCCTGTTCCATTTCTGCTATTTTTTCTCAGTGTCTGGATGATTTCTTCCTGACACTTCCTCTTTGTCGACGCCATTCTGTGCAAATACTCTGGCTGCTTTGTTGCTCTCGGTTAAAAGCGTCAATATCTGTGTCTGTTGCCAAGTGCGTTGCGCATGTGCAAAGTGCGGAATTAATTTATTTTAATTTCATAAATGATCAAATAAAAAATTCTTATCATAATAGCAGAGATATAATTTTGCTAAATAACGCCATTTTAGGATAACAATACAATATATGGAAGTTTTGGATTTAATTCAAATATATATTCACTCCGAAGCTTCAAGGAGGCGAACATGGCGGATGCAGATTCTTTGCACGACATGAGTTCAGACTTGGACCAGGATCCAAGCGCCGTTGAGGGCGATATCGAAGATGATGAAGTTGGAGACGAAAGGTTTATATTGTCTTAATTTATATATTCCCCTTTGAGCCGAGTTTCGTGATTTGACTGCATTTGCAAATGTCAGAAATTGATGAAACACGAAGCGTGCAGAGACACATGTTTGATAGATCCAATTTGCTGTGTAATACTAATGGACCCTTTCTTTAGCTGTGATACAACACATCAGGTTTTTATTGAGTTGATAAGAAATCCGTAATGTATATTCAATAACAGGATATTCCTGTTAAGAGTTGCACATGTATTTCAGAGTGGACATTTATTTTGGAAGATATGACCATAAGGGGCCCAATTTAAGAAATAAATCTAAATCTGGACCTATATTAGGCTTATACAATTTTATACTTGAAATGCATTTGGTTAAACTTGAAGATAACCACATCCAGGGCATGAGAATTGTCACTGTGTGAACTCACGACAAGATGATACTCCATTGAAAAATACATTGCCCAAATCAGTTAGCATGATCAGAAGTAGTTCACTTTGTATATACCGATGAACAAAATTAACAGCAGTACTGCACTTTAACAAGCACACTTTTTCAGATTTCAATTAGCCAACGCCCGACCTACCCTAACCCCAAACACAAATAACCCTAATGATCGAAGAGGTATATGCATGATCTGTGACGAGAGAGCCACAGTTGGCAGCCAGAGCCAATTAGCGCTAGTAAGCTGTCCCTGGTAAACTGCATTATTACCAAATTAACAATACACTGCATGTACATGCCAGTTTAAGATGAAAAAGGGAACCTACGTTGTGGCATCCTGCAGCCTAGGCCATGTTTGTGCCTGATGTGGTAGCATCAATGGGCATAACACTATTAGTCCTATCATCCGTGAGTATTTCGGGTAAGACTATACATACTATAAGTCACCGGCAACCTATAATGTTGTAATAGGTGACTATATGGATTGGGAGGTCAAGCTTAGTCGATTGCATGTCATGATATCCCAGTTGCTTAGATCAATGCTCATGATGTCAATCACAGGATGTCTGTCCCATACTCAATTATTTACCGACCTCTGTCATAGCCATGATAGCAGGAATGGTTTTTTTTAAAAGAATCTTTTTTTTCCTGTATCCCTGTTACATATGTGTCTCTGTATTTAGGGAACTACAGAGCTAAACATGAGAAAATAAAAAAACAACCAAAAACATGTAGCACTTTAAACCAAGATATAGGTTGTCTTTTTTTAGGTTTGTTTTCCTAAACACATACATAACATTACAGACTGCTTCAATAGTACTAATACACTTGATACAACTGGAATATTGCTGACTGTGACAGTGACAACATTCACTCATTCTCCTGAATACATTTGATATGTAGTGTTGTAAAGGAAAGTATGATAGCAGGAAGCAACAGGAGAAATGAAGACACTTTCACTGAGCCTTTATAACATAATATTGGGGGGGGGGGGCATGTCTCAGTCTCTCCTAGTAAACATGCTAAATATAATGATGTAGGGTTGTATCTTGTTTCAAGTCAGCCAATTTTTTGTTGGTGTCTTTAATTTAGGGTAGTGGTGCAACAACAATACAAAAGGCCATGATACGATATGTATCTCAGTACACTGATCATGATAGGCCAGAATTACAATACAAATGCCATGAACTGAAATACTTGTCAGGGTTAGAACTACACTCAAAAGTATTACTAGCCCAGTTTAAGATAAACTGCCCTTGTAATGTTATAACAATAGGGAATTTGAGAAATTTGTATGAGCCATCAAAAATTTGTCCTGGCCCCAAGCTAGTGGGCTTGTGTTAATTTTTAACCCTACTTGTGTATTTCAGTCTAAATTCAGGTCCGTGAAAAAATGGTTTCTTCCCTGTTAATGAGTCCATCACAAAAAGGGAATCCAAAATGACCACAAACAGCTAATTTGTAGGACACAAGTGTCTTTAAAGCTGTAATTTATCCGATATTTAGATAGGGCTTTTCTTTCGTTACGTTAAAAAAATATATATTGTGTCATGTATTATGATACAGGTCTGTATGTATGATGTATCACATCCAAGGACACATATCCCTGTGCATCTGCGTTTCCGTATTTGTTTCATCCTCAGCTTAAAGGCCAATCCCTTCCCATGCTTACTGCTGTTGTGAGCAAACACATGCCAATACAGCAATGTATATCAAATGAACATGATGAAGATAGGAAGTAATTGAGTACAATTCCCTGTTACCATGGTTACATATTAAGACACCTTATCACAATAAATATTTATCAGTCTCAAGTCAGGTAAATCTAAGCTGCTGATGCTGTATCCCTACATCCTTTTATTGTTCTTCATCAGCTGTTCATATGTGTTCATAAACTCAAAATTTTCATGCTTCCATTGCAGCTCAGTAGCAGTGATGAAATGTAATGATTATTCAGTCAGCCCTAAATTCAGTGATGAGTGTCATGAAAGAATATGGTTACATACTTAGATAGCCATTATCCTGATTCTGTTTCTAGGTTTGTCAGCACCATGCCTGTACTCTTTGGTTTCATCAAAGTGGTAAACCTCTGAGGCTTTGAGTTTTCCTCTCACATCATGCTGACTTGCTGTTATATAACTGACATATATTATTCAAAGTGGCACAATCTTACTCACTACCATAAATTGAAGTATTTCTTAGGGCTGGAATGGGTAACTTGGGTACTCGGGGCGGGTGGGTACTGAGTAGGACCCGGGTACCCACAAGACTACACGGACCCGTTGTTAGTCACGCGATATGTTGTTTAATGACCAAAATTATCTAAAACTCTAAGTCACTAATGATCCCATTTCTTTCTGACTATGCACCCATTACCTCTGACTTGTATATGTTTGAATAAAGATAAAACTTCATTCAGTAAACTTCAGTGTATGCATGACCTGATCGTTTTATCATTGTTTATACATGCATCTGAATACATTTTGCGAGGGAAACTTTTCCCATCAGACAGTTTGTACCTATCTCTTGAGACCTACAGCAGGTACCCAGGTAGGGTCGGGTAATAGGGGGTTGGGTACCCGGGTAGTACATTTGGACATGTCCCAGCCCTAGTATTTATCATATTTCTTTCAAACAAACATGACTGTTGTCATGGTTATGGCTGCTCATCCTAGATTAGTGAAAGTCTGGGTCACGTTATTATCTCATCAAATCTGGTTATCACAAACATCACATCTCTGAAGAAGAAAAGATGCACGACTTGACTGTGTAATGTTTCAAAGTTAATCAATGTTACGTCATGCAAGAAGGGTGGCACAGTCATTTATGGCTTCGCAATTCGCTGTACAAAGTTGTGTCCCTTGGGCATGCCAGAAACCTATGATCATGGGTTAGAATCACAGTTCACCCCGATTATGTTTCAAGGTCTGTCAGCATCATACTGCATCCGTGTGCTCGTGGGTTTCAGCAAAATGATATACATTTGAGACTTGCATCACTTCAGGCCTTCCTCCCACATTAAGCTGACATGCTGTGATAATAACTGGAAAACTGTTCAAAATCAGAGTTAAACCTCACCCACTCACTCATGCAAGACCGATTATACAGATTTCCATGCTGTATGGATGTTATTCTTACAAGGCAATGTCTTTTACCCAAGAAGATTGGAAAACTGGGGGTTTCTTCGGATCAGCCAAGTTATTTTATCCCATAAGTCACATAGGCAGGACCCGTGAATATCCGGGCTAGAATAGGTCTTCAGCGGCCCATGCTTGCCCTAAAGTAAAAGGAGAGTAACGGGAACTGGTGATCAGACTCGCAAACTTTGTTGAGGCATGTAATCATATCCCATTTGTGTGGATCGATGCTCATGATGTCAGTCTGTCACTGCAATGCCAGGTTTGATGTAGGTTTTGAAATGTAGTGTTGATCATGTTGATGGCACATCGAGCATGTTGTTAATACTTTGTATGATGAGCGTATGATTCCTGTATCATGTTAAACCCTGCATTTATCAGAAAGTATTTTGTAATAAACTTTACAGCGTCTGATGCACAGAGGTTATTGGATATTGCTCACCTAGATTACGATCGGTGTTGTGGTCTAGAGGTTAAAGCATTAGCTCGTCATGCTGAAGGCAGGGTTTGATTCCCTTCATGGGTACAATGTGTGAAGCCCATTTCTGATGTCCCTGTCGTGATATTGCTGGAATATTGCTAAAAGTGGCGTAAAACCATACTCACTCACTCATCTAGATAACCCTTGTCCAGTAGACTACAGGCATTGTCAACTTAACATCCTTTTAATTGTTTCAGTCAGGACAGTGCGATGCGCAAGAAGAGCAAGAAGAGGAAGAAAAAGCCACGAGACATCGAGCGATCCAGTGGAGACTCTGACAGCCAGGTGATCAATGACGAGGAATATGATGGCAAGATTAAGCTGGTGGAGGGGACGACTGACCAGTCGCAGTCAGGCATGGAGGCAGATTCGGAGAGCCAGGGACCACGGGAGAAGAAGAGGGAGAGCCCCAAAAACAAACACTTGGTGTCAGAAGATGCCCCAGAGGAGGGCCAGGTAACAGAAAAACACCTCAATAATCCTTTCTTTCCTGTAGCTATAGGAATTGTAAGACCTATCCCTGTGGTGTACTGGGGACCTATTCTGTCCAGGCTTCCCCTTGGGGTCATGGGGACCTAGTCTGTCCAGGCATCCCCTTGGACTCATGGGGACCTGTTCTAGCCAGGCATCCCCATGGGGTACTGGGGACCTATTCTGTCCAG